TCTTGTCGGTAACACTTTATTTGAAGGGGTTTGTATAAAATGACACTGTCGTAAACATAACCTGTTATGAACATAAAGGAGTTTTCATAAATGTTTATGACTGTTGTCATGAAGCTGTAATGATTCCTTGAATATTATTAAAATTCCTCGAGGAAAATTTACCTGTCTTAAAGCGTCGTTAAATTATGTTTTATTTTTTACCGCACCGTGTTCTGGCCGGGTCGTTATTTGCTTTGCGCAGAGCTCTCACTTCCCCTCTGAGTTGCTGCCAAGCACTAGCAGCCTAGCATCCAATTTTCAAGTTCGGTCTGGGGGGATTTCATTAATTCATGATAGTGTTTGGGTTTTTGTTGTTGTTTTGGGGGGACCAATAAACATCCTTAAAATGACGGGCGTGATACCTGGAGTACGGCAGCCTTTTTCTTCCGGGAGCTGCTGCCTGGTGGCGGTGAAGAGCGCGGCGGGTGTATTTATACAGGTGAGCGTATAGCCTGAACACTGCGCTGTAGATGATTAATGTAAGTGTAGCTCTACGGAAGAACCAGACACTAAGTTTCATATCATCCCTGTTGTTGAGGTTGTTGATCTGGAGCGCATCGTAGCGGTACATGGCTAGTAGATGTTTCTGTGCGTGACGAATGAAGATGTCAAATCCAGCCGCTAACATGAACACAAAAGCTATAAATGTCTGGACAAGGTGAGAGTTAAAAGCTGGAGTGCAGACATTTTTATGATAATATTTTTTCAGGTTAACTTAGAAAGTGAGCTGTTATTGTTACAGGTAAATTTTCTAAACTACAGAAAAGTTATTGTAGAGAAGCTAAAACATGAAAATTTGAGTTAATATCCGATAGTAACACTGCTGTTATGATAGAATTTACCAATATTTTGTTTTATCAAATTTTGTTTCATTACTCAATTAATCATCAGAATAATTGATACTCGATTACTAAAATAATCGGTTTACAACAGCTCTAAAATTTGCATTAAAAGATCAGGACAGTAGTCGTAAACATATATGAAGACTCCGTCGTGTTTAGTCATATTTATGACCAGTTCAAATACAGTATTACTCGTTTGTGTTTGTGGACATTTTTGTTTTCTAATGTCTGAAAAAACCTGTTGCTCTTTCTCACCAAGAGGGCCGTTTTTGCTTTTGCTGTTTCTTTCTGTCACCATGGTTATAATCTCTGAGAGCCCATTGTGGCGATCGTAAAAAAACACTGAGAGGAGGTAAAATGGCCTGAGAGGCACATTTTTATTTTTTTTGTCTGTTAATCTAAAACTGCAGCTTTCAGGGCTGCCTGGTTCTCCGGCTCTAAACCGTAAAGACAGAGACATGAAGATTGTGAGTCATGTAGCTAAAGTGGCGTTGTTGTGTTTGACATTTAACTGACATGCAGAGGTGCTTTCTGCGCCTTTCCTGGAAACGCTACTTGTCTTTAAATAATCCCCTTCCTGCAGGCTGATAGCCGGGTGGATCTTATTCCCCCCCCCAAATCTCTGAATATAAATAGTTGAATGTCCCACAAGATGAGTCATTCACACACACACACACCTATAAAGATATGCTTGTCAGTAATAAGAAAGTAATGGCAGTCAATAACAATTGTTATGTAATGGTGATGATGATGGAGCGTCGTTTCATCACAAACACAGTTTGGTCCGCTCTGCATCGATGAGGCGGCGCTGAGCTACAATCTGGTTAACAGATGACACTCCGCTTCTGCGTGTGTGTGTGTGTGTGTGTGTGTGTGTGTGTGTGTGTGTGTGTGTGTGTGTGTGTGTGCGCGCCCTGACTGACTGACCCTTCTACGATTTGGAGTTTGAAGTTATATTATGCAGAGTTGGGTAGTTACATCGATTTGAATAATTTTTTTGAAAAGAAATGTACTTTTAGGAGTAATTTTACTCCTCTGTTCTTGTTACTTTTAATTGAGTAATTTTATTATGAAGTATTTTTACCCTTACTTGAGTAAAATTTCTGGATTTTCTACCCACTAAATGAGAAACAAACATGTTTTAACCAAATATTCACCAGACACACACCGCCGTTTTTGTTTCATAAGTATATTGAAAGAAACTGAACATTTTTATTTTCCCCAATTTTGATATTTTTTGTTTCTTATCTGAATTACTGTCATTTTGGTCCTTAAAATACCAAAATTTCCACTTAACTGTATATTTTGGTGCGTCTGAGTATGTGATTCTTAAATATTAAATCAGCACTTGAATAGATTTTTCCCAAATTTTTTTTCTTTTACTTGAAGTAGTGCTGTCGTTACTTTACTATGATTTTTGCATACTCTGCTCACCTCTGGTATCGTTATTCGTTATTATAAAACAAAAGATAAAGTCTCTTTATAAGGAGAGGTAAATGTGTTTTTTCTGACATTTCTAAATACCTGTGCAGTGAAAAAGTATTTCTGGTCTTACTGATTTCTTTTTTAACACATGATCAAAATCAGATAAATATACCCTGATTAAATAAAAAATACAGTTGGTTTTATTCGTGAAGAACAAAAAGCGAACTGAAGTATCCGGGATTTATGCTTGGAAAACTTATTAAATTAAATTAGATTGAACTTTCTTAATCCTCCAGGAAGCTTCCTCTGGGAAATTTGGAAATTTCCAGCAGCAGAATCAACAGAAACAACTAAGCAATACATATTAGAAAAGACAAAAATATAATAAAAAATATAAAAGGAAATGAATTAAGACAATAAAAGAGGTATGGAAAAGTAAATAGCAGCACCTTCACTTATCACTCATTACAATAAATTATTGAACAACAATGATATGGATGCTGTTCTGTGTCAATTAGCATATTATTAGAAATTATTCCATATTATTTGCAATCTGCTCCCTGCGGTCTAAATTACATCTGCTTGCTGATCCTCTTCTTTGTGCTGCATTTTAATAAGGGCAATTTTGCAACATGGCTGCTTCCATTAACTGTTTTTCCTTTTTGTTGTCAAAAAATGCTAAATTATTTAAAAATGTTAATTCAACAATCACCTCATTTACAAGTTTTTTTAATTGCAAAACACCTTCTGGGCTGAGCTGATGATACGAGCGTCGGGTAACGAAAACAATTTAAATCGTTTTTGTTCTGGACGGACGGATTGTAAAAAAGAAAGCTTGACGTCACAGGACTGCACAGAACTATATGACAGTGCATTATTGTCACTGTAAACAGGAAATTTCTGCCAAAAAGCTCAGAAATTTTGAGGATAATCTCTGAAAATGCATTCTCAGATTTGAGCAAACGGTCACAGATTATTAGATATTCTCGTTTTCCTGGAATTTCTGTTTCATCTGAACAGCTTTAATCTTAATAGTTATATAGACGTTCGTCCTAATTACTTCTTTCTGTAGTTGCAATTTTCATGGAAGTGAACCAAAACATTCAAAATAATGCATTTCTAATATGAACAACTTGATAATTCCATATTAGTTACCATATGTACAAGTGGGTGTCACTGCTCATGCTTGCAGTAATCACCGGTGGTCGTGCATGCAGAGCAGCGTGTAGTTACTATAACCCGTCTAGCTGCGTTCCTTCGCCTGGTGAAGAATCGCTCTGGTTACAGTAACACTTAGAAAAAACACCTTGCTGGGATTTAGCAGCCATTTGTCAGAAGCAGCTGGCAACAAATCCGACTTTTCCCAACGGAGGGGAACAAAGTTCAAGTGTTGACTCGCACAGAGTCTGCTGACAAATCGCAGCCTGGGCTAATCCACAGCACACACACACACACACACACACACACACACACACACACACACACAGCACATTTCATACGCCTATTAACCCATGACATTGCTTGGTGACATATTCGGTGCTAAGCAGTCTGATGCTAATGGAAAAAATGAAGTCATTGTTAATCTGTGTGTTTGAAATTTTGCATGCATAAAAATAAATTAGGGAGGTTAATGCACAGAGGTTGTTGTGAAGCAATTTACTCACCTTTTTAGTAATTCAAATAGCCTCACATTGACTTACTTAGGAGTGATGTTCAAACCAATTAAGGTTGAAGTGTTATCTGTGTATATTTCAGTTGTTTTTTAATGAATTAAAGGTTAATATGGGCTTAAGGCTCAGGCTGCAGCAGTGCATGTAAATAAAAGCTTATTTGGCTTCAGCGTTCCTCGAAGAGTGAATGCTGTTTGCTTTATGTAACTAGAGTTGTAAATATTCACAACTCAGGAGTGTGAACCGTAGCTCACAGAATATCAGGGATAAAGTTGTGGAGAAGTTTAAAGAGGATCTATTATGCTAAATTCATATTTTGTTTGTTTTTGTACTTCTGTTTTTGTTTCTACTGCTTCTAAAACCAGCCAGCTGATTTTTGGCAACGAGTTAATGTTTTTGGTGTTCAAAGCCTTCAGAATGTAATGTCACAAATCACCTAGCAACCCCAGCTGAGCCCAGCTCGTTGCCTAGCAACCCAAGCTGAGCTTCAGCTTGTTTGGTCAGCTGGTTTTTCTGCTGTATCTCTGTACAATGGCTGCTGGAAAAGACAACGAGTTTTGTTGTTGATTTACCATCCAGAAACCGCATCCTGCATTCTTGTTGGTTGTACAAGCTGAAACACTACACCAACATAGTATTTAGTGGAAATTAATGCCAACATACTAAAGTGCTAAATTCAATCCTTTAGCAGGTATTCAAGATACCTTTAAAGTAGGGTAAGTGTTGTGTTTTTGTGTAAGTGTTGTTTACCTCCTTCATTTGCTTGTTTTAGACTTCCCATCTGATCAATAAAGATTATTTAAATAATAAAATATTTTAACCCGGGCCTGGTGTCAAGTTTGGAAGGAGAACACAATGACGCATTTCTCTTCACACATCTTCATTGTTATCTGGATTTTTATTGGCCATTTACGATGGCAAATTTGCTCAACGGAAACCCAAATATACATTAAAAAAACTATTTTCAAATCAACAACCGGATGTTACTACTGGTGGAAAAGACAAAAAAGACGAAAACAGGAAGTAGTTGGAAGTACATGTTTCTTTAATGACTTAATGCATGAAGAAACTTTTTCACGTGTGATTTTAGCCTTTCTTATTACCACAAATGTGAAAATGTGTGGGAATATAGACAAAGTTTTGCGTACATTTGTAACGGAAAAGCAGCTAATGAGAACCAATTTTGGTTCTTAGTTGTTGTACAGACATTGTGTCGAAGCCCTTATGTACTGCATGTTACCTAATAACTGTTCACTGGCTGCCGTCCGGCTCTGTTTCTGTATTTCTGATTCCGCAGGCTGGAGACTTCAACTGTGTCCTGATTTACATGATTGCATCTTTGACTTTCAGAAAGTGTCTCTTGTCCAGGCGCTGCTGACAGGCAGACAGCTGCTGCTTATCCGGGAAGACAGAGACGTCTGTGTGCGTTTCATAGCTGCTCGCTCCTCGCGTCGGGCTTTAACGGTGCAGTCAGAGGGAATATGTGTAGGTTCTCTGATGCAGCAGGAGGTCCACGCAGCGTCCCGCAGCACTTTCTCTCTGTGTGAGAGCTGTGATGTTGCAGTGGTTGTTCAGTTTCTGCCTGCAGGAAAAGTCAGGGGGTTGTTGTCATTCAAGGCTGCAGCAGCATCACATGCTGAGAAGGCTGTACTGCACCTTTAAATAGCCCAGAGTGTACAGTGAGCTAAAGAGACAAACATAAAAATATACTCAAAGGACAAGAAGAGAAACTCAGCTGGTAAACACAGGTTGTGGAATCAATGTTTATTTTAATATTTCAGTTTTTGAGCAATGTAATATTAATGGTGCCTGGACTAAGTAGGTGTTAAAGTAATGAATGTATTTCCTCCAAATATCAATACTGTATTTCAGCTGCTTTGCATTAAATAGAACAGAGAGATCGTCACAATTACAGTGGAGACAATGCTAACTCTACGGAAGACAATTAGGGACAATAGAAAACAAAGAATTCTGACTTTTTTTTCTCAGAATTCTGACTTTTTTCTCAGAATTCTGACTTTTTTCTCAGAATTGTTTTTTTTTTTTCAGAATTTTGACTTTTTTTCCTTAGAATTCCTTTTTCTCAGAATTGTTTTTCTTTAAGGAATTTTCCCCTAAGAATTCTGACTTGTTTCTGAATTTTGACTTTTTCCTCAGAAATCTAATAAAAACCTGTCTGGATAGGTTTTGTTTTTTTTGGCCATAATCCTCTTCTGTACTAAGTTTTTCTCAGATTTCTGTCAGATCGGCTAGTAAAAAAAACCCTGGGGTCACACCTGTGTGTTGTTTAGAAAACACTGACTTCTGGTAGATGTTGTACAGTACCGGGTATTTGCACTATAAACACTGACCTTTTGTCATGTTTTCACTATTTCTTGAGCTGTTGTTGAGTAATTGACTTTAGTAAAACAGTTAATTTCATGTCAGTTCAAATCATCTTTATGTCCACTTTAACAACTGTGTGCTTTGTCAACCTGAATCTCACTCCAGCTGCAGGGTTTTCCTGTCTGATGAAAAATCAACCAGTCAGAATAAAAATCTCTTTATTCTGTTAGATTTGATTTATTTCTGTCCCTGACTTTCTTTACTTCTGATTCAATCACTTTATTTGTGATGATGGTGGGGAAGACTGATTGTGAAATTAACACAAATCAGGGACTTTTGATTATAATTTTTAAGAGAAACAAGAAAGAAATGTAAAAAAAAAAAAAAGTTTGAATTGTGTAAAGAAAAAGTTTTGAAAAAAACTTGGAAGCTCAGAAAAGACACTACCGGTACAATGTACACACTGTGAAGAAATACACACCATCTAATGTAGCAGGGAGGGAAAAGTAAAGGAGAAATCAGGCTTACAAACATCTTAAACAATCTCAGAGGAAAATCTTCAGGAAAACAATCAGAAATGTACCATATTTAACATTTATCCTAAATTCACAAAAATGAGAAAAAAAAATCCTGCTTCTTACTTCAGTCATATATTTATTTTCCACAAACCTGCATGACAAGATAAAGAAAGTGGAGTAAAAATGACCACAATGTCATTAATGGGTTATTATGAAGAAAACTTTGTGTGTTTATTTGCAAAATGTGATACATTTTCAGTGCTTTATATTCTAAAATTCAGTTTTGTTCTCTACAAAATTCTACAAATTTAATTCCTGCATATAGATAATTAGTAAAAAAAAAAAAAAAAACAGCAAAAATGCTGTTTTGGCATCACAAATAGTCTCTATACTGGAGAACATCGCACTTTGGTGTGTGTGTGTGTGTGTGTGTGTGTGTGTGTGTGTGTGTGTGTGTGTGTGTGCAGAACAGACGTCTGAATGTGTGTGAGGGTAAGAAATGAATTGTTAATTGCATGAATAAAACTCCATCATCTCTGTGCCGTCAAATCCAAACTGGAGGCTCAGTGAAACTACATCATCTTCTAATTGAATTCTGTCTTGCATGAAAGCCGGACAAACACACACACACAGACGCATGCGCACCTACACACACTCACACACTGTAGAAACAGCCGAGCAGTAAATTGATCGAATGAATAATCCAAAGTTTTATTCATTGTTCTTCCTCTTGTCTCAGCTTCCTGAAATGAAAATTTTAACTTCTGCAAATTGATTCATTAAATTTGCAGCATCTGAAACTAGTGACAGCTGGTTTCTCAAAAAAATTCAATATTAACTAGACGGTTGCAACCGTTGCAGGTTTACAGATTTATCAATAACGGAGAGATTGCAAAGATTACCACATCACATTACAGCCCAGTTCTCTCTTTTACTAAACACTCTTGAGCTCCAGCGCTCTACGTCTCTTTAAGAGATTAAGGAAAACGTGTTGGTGTTCCTCAGTTCTGCAGACAAATGACCCAAATGGTCAGTCCAGTTGATGGCGAACAGAAGAGTTGGCTTCATCACAAGCTGATTTCATAGAAAGCTTTGTTCTAGCTAAGCTTTGTGCTCTCAGATTAACACCTCAGATTTAGTTTAAATCATTCAGCAGATTAAGAGCTAGCAGGCAGGTGTGGTCCTAACCTGTTTGGTGCCTTGGGCCAACAACGCCCCCCATTGCAAACTCATTCAGTATTTATTTTAATATTTCATTTAAAAACATGGAAGAAGTAGAACACTGCTAAAAACGCATATAACATGACGCAAACACTTCTTAAAGTTAAAGATATACATATAAAAATAAATAAATACACTGCAAAAACAGAGTATTTTTGGTCTGGTTTCTAGTGCAAACGTCTGTAACTTACAAGTAACTTTTTATCAAGATATAAAGGCTTTTTTAAAGTAAATAATTCCTTAATATTGATGAAAAAGTTCTTGTTCCACTGGCAAAGGGCACTGCGCCGTTACCTAGCAACCCCAGCCAAGCCCAGCCCGTTACCTAGCAACCCAGTTCTAGTTCCACTGGCAGATTTGTGAGGTTACATTCTTGAGGTTTTTGAATCGGTTCATTTTACAGACACCAAGAAAACATTAACTTTAGTTTTTTAAGTAAAGTTAATGTTTGGTTGCTTTTAGAAGCAGTTTAGACCCAAATGGAAGAACAAAAACTGTGTAACTGTGATCTTCAAATACTGTGTTAAACTTTAATGTCATTTTTATTCTTTTATAGGTAGTTTTTTTATATGACTGTGAGAAAATAATTTATTTTCTGGGACTTATAGCACATCTGTTTGTCTAATGCAAACTGTGACAGTGAAGAAACAAACAAGAGTCTAGCACAGAGCAACGTCTCGCATAGCCGACAGTATTTTATTTTCAACTCTGAATTTTGTGCCTTCCACTATATATTCTTCTCTCATCTTGTGCTTTAAGTTTCTTCTCTCTCTGACAGTAAACTCAAGCTGATTGTTTTTCTATATCTGTTTATAAGACTGCATTACTTGAAGCTTAGGCATCTTTCTTTTCTCAGATCCAGTGAACAGAAGTTTGTTTCCTGCTTTATTTACAGTATTTGTGTGGAAGTGATGAGTGTGAGTCGAGCCCGAATGGGATAATTTGAGTTTTATGTGAATATACATTGCTCTGCAACCCCGTTTCAAAAAGAAAAGTTAAGATGCAGTTTAAGAATGTGGAAAAGTATGGGTTTTTTGTTGTATTTAAATCACTAATCTTCTCCTGTTAAACATCGTTTTTCAGTTTATTGATGAATCAATCCTGAACACTTTGAAATACCTTCAAATTAAAATCATACCTGGAGTGGTGAATGTAATCAAAATAAGAAAGAAGGAGCTTGTTCAGGTTAAGTGTCTGCTGCAGAAGCCGGTTCCCACGCAGACTGCCGTCCTCTTCGTCTCCCACTCCTCTGCTCCCACTGCACTCCCACTCAGTTTTTACAGTGAAAAGCTCCAGGAGGCCTGAGCTGCCTTGACATGCACTGAATATCTTCAACCAATGACATTATAAACTGTAGAAACAAATAAATATATTTTAAAAATATATTTTTTTACATTTGTTGAAACCATTTCCATGTCTTAACAGTTTGGTATGAGACAGATAATCTGTGAAAATATTGAGCTTCTCCAAGTGCTAATTAGAAACAACCAATCAGAGCCAAGAGGCGGTTCTTAGCGCTGTCAATCATGCTCGCCTCTACACCCCCTTTTCTCTCTACTACGCTGCAGCTAGCAGAGGCTGTCGTGAATGCTAATGCTAGTTAGCATAGCCACTGCTCATGATAAACGGTTTTCCTGTAACGGTAAATTGTTTTCAGCGAGTACACAAGGTTTATTGACAGCGCTAAAACCTGCCAATCAGAGCCTCTTCCTGGCTCTGATTGGCTGTTTTTGGTCGGGAGCGGTTCTTTTCTTCAGAAGGCAATCGTAGCTCAAGGAGGACACCGAGAAGATTGATCTTTTCACAGACTAATTGTCTCATAACAAACTGTCACGACATGGTGACATTTTTCAGAAATATATTTTTCTTAAAAGGAAATGTAAGTTTTGTTAAGTCAGCAGTATCCAGAAACCAAGTAAGACCAGGCAAGCTGAGCAAACTGACCTTGACGTATAAAATCAGCGGATTGACCCTTTAACTTTCCCATTAGCACAACTTGCCCGTCGTGTCACGGCAGAACCGCAGCAGAACCGCAGCCTCAGGATCACTTTGACACAGATTGAAGAAGAACAGCAAGCTCAGCCCGGTTCTGAACTTCTCCCTGAACTTTTCTACATTTCTTTGATTTTACGCAGATGGTTCTTCAAAAGCTCCGGGCTTCGCTTGGCTGCGATGAGTCTTTACGGTTAGAGTGACACTTCTGAGGTCAGCATGATTTGTTCCATCAAATCTAATTACTTCTTTTTTTTTTGTAGCTTTCACGCATTTTCTGAGGCAGCAGCTGCAGCCTGGAGGGACTCTGGTACTTATATCCTCCAATGTGTGTGTGTGTGTGTGTGTTTAACCTCCGCTATGATGAATCAGCAGAAAACGGCACAGAGTGTAAATAACCACATGATGTGATAAACATCAGTTTTAAGGGATTAACTCCACTCTGACGCACCGGAGCCGTCTTTCAGGGGTTTCTCCTTTGTTTTGTTCTTGAACAAGTTGGGAAACTTGAAGGTGAACGGAATGAAAATGAGGAACGAGAGAAAGACCGGCAGTGAAATATTAACGAGGATGGCAGGAGGGAGTTTGAATACACAGACTCAGCAAATCCTTCACAGACGTTCTGCGCTTGTCTTGTTCAAACTAATCAAGTTTAGCGTTACGTGACGCATGTAAAGTGATATTTCATGACATTTTACATTAAAACCTACGTGGTAATTTTTGCAGAGGTTTAAGTTCACCTTGCAGGACATGTTGGACAGTGAGTCCAAATAGAAAACTCTAGGAAATGTTTTTATTCCTTTTACTTACCAGACACAAACTTGAGTTTCAAGAGGACAAAATCCCCTCTAATCCATCTGTTTGTGCATATAAACAGCTTAATGTTCATTTAATTTCTCACCTTCTGATTTTGGAGCTCCAAACCGAGCCTGAAAAAGAGAGGACAAAATTTAAAGCCAATTGAGTTTGGCTTTAATCTCCATGTGGGAAGGAAATAAAAAGCTTCTTGCCAAAACGATGCGTTTAAAACTAACGACACCCACAATCCCACCCACAGACTGCTGGGAAGAGAACAGCAGTGTGAGGGGAAAAATGAAGTTTGAAAGACAAGACTTAAAGAAACAGCTTGGCTTTCTGAGAACACTGAAAGCACTCCATGCTGCTGCAGAAAATAACCATTATGCTCCAAAAGGACAAAGGTTGGCTCCATTTAACAGAACCTACTGGAGCAGGTGGGTGCAAATCTGCACAACAAACCAATTTATTTAGAAAAAAAATCACAATAAACCCAACAATCCACCACCCAGTTACATTAAACTGGGACCAGAGCTACCAAAGCACCAAAAACCAGTTCATGGGTCGTAAGATTTTAGTCTGAGGAAACGAAGAAACAACCATATTTATCAGGAGCATCAGAATGAGATACTTAAGATCAGGAATTAACTTAGAAAATAAAGAACTGAAACTTCAGTTTATTAAAAAATTAATTAATCTTTAAAGCTGCAGTAACTTTTATTAAAAGAATAAATGTTTTTTACAGATTTGATAAAACTGTCACTCTGTTATGGCTGTACAGTACGAGACGGATAATCTGTAATAATATCAATTGGAGCCTGTAGGAGAGCCTTTGCGCTGTAAATCATGTTTGTGTAGGTGCTGCTTACACCCTCCCTCTTGCTCAAAGCTTATCCCTGATAGGCAGGAATGCTCAGGCTAGTTAGCATGGCCTCTGTTGACGGCAGATGGACAGTTTTCCTGGAACAGTTAGATACTTACTGAATGGAAGAGCGTTTCACCTTTATTTATGAACTCGAAACAGCCAATCAGAGCCAGGAGGAGGGTCTTAGCACTGTCAATCATGTGTGCCTTTTGTTACGAAATTAAGCCTTTTGTACTGAAACACAAAAACAAATGAACAAAAGGGTGAAAAAAAGAAATCTACCAATCAGATTCCTGACAGAAACGGAGCCAGCAGGTAATTATAATGCCTCAGCTGCTTCTTCAGTAGTATTTGAAGAGGTTTTTGAGAAGACAAGCCACCATGGAGCAGTGGAGGAGATTTATTTTTTACACACTGACAAGAGATAGTGACAGTTTTAACTTTTCCTTTTTATAAAAGTTACAGGCTGCAGCTTTAATATGTTCAGTGAGAATGATTTTCTGAAGTCAAACTGTGAAAATGAAAGCAAAAAGAAAAAAATAGTTGTTTTTTGAGACACAGAAATATTAGCATAAATTATTCAGAGGCCTTCTAAAGCCAGCCTCAGTGGTCTGGGGAATTCTGCTGTTTTTCTTCATGTCTGCCAGAAAGAAGAGTTTGGGTTTTCTTTTTGCTCTGATCAGTTCCTGGCTCCTGATTTCAGAGTCTTTATCTGAATTTCATTTCTTCTCCCATGTGGTGGCATATTCCCTCTGCCAGATCGTCTACCTGCACCGTTCCTCATAAACTCACCTGTTGTCGCTCCTTCATCCTCCTGGTTCCTCGTTCAGCGGTTTTTCAGATCCTCAGCTTTCTGGCTGCACAGCCTTGTTTTCCTGCAGGCGTCTAACTTCATGTTGCATGTTTTCTGTCGGCCGACTCGCTGCTTTGGCAGCGCCTCAGGTTTTGTTTTTGTGACATGAAGTTCATTAGTATTCTGCTCTGACCTCCTACTTGTTCAGTCCTGCATTTAGTTCCTGCGCTGACTTCTCTGCAACAAGAATAAAAATCAATTTACATGTAAATGGGGTGTATTTTTCTTTCTTACTTTTTATCGTTTCTCTCTGTGTACTGAGGAAAACCATTTTCTTTGTTGCTTTGAGACATTTTGAGTAATTGTCATTGCAGACATTTGCATTATTATCTCTGTATCAACATCATGTATGACAGATTTACACCTTGTGAAACTGAAAGAAGTTAAATGAAATGTGTTTTATATAAAGAAAACTCAAATATTTCCACATTTTTCGTATGGAAAGCAGAATCTGTGATTTATTCTTGTTTAATTTATACATTTAACTCAGGGATTTTTTTTTCATTGTCGTCTCTTAAGGAAATATGTTTGTTTTTTTATTGGTTACTTTTATTGCTTTTTTTCAGGCTTGTAGATTTTTTTCCATGTCATAAGTCAATAAATGTTTTTTTTTTTAAAAAGGAACCATAAATAAATTTAGCAAAACACGACCAACACCAAAAAAAAAAGATGACACTCTGAGACAAAAATGGCAACATTAAAGCCTTCAGCTACACTTTTAGACAGAAATTGTATTTCAGAAAACAAAAAATTTGGAAGTTTTCAAGTTAATTGGATTTTCTGAGCCGGTTCTGATGCACGTGGATCTAAAAATAAATAAATAAATAAAAATTTCAATTACTAAATTGTGATTTATTGACATGAGTGAATGTGTGACATTTTTTGCACATTTGTGATGGAAACGCTGCTTATGTCAGCAGAATAACTTTGGTTAATATTCTGTGTAGAAACATAGCAGTAGTGAATGGAAGCAGCATAAAGTCTCACTTCCTAAACAATATCAGTTGCAGTACTTTTCCTCACAGTATGACATTTGACCTGTAAAAATCCACTACAAGTAAATACTACATAGAGTGGCTGAATCGATTCAAAATACTCACAACTGATCATTCATTTGGCTCAGACACCGAGGGGAAATAAAGGCTTCCATTTTTTAAATTGTAAAATTAAGTAATACACAAGCTTTCTTCTCTTACTCGAGGAACTTTATGCTCACAAATTAACGATATTTAATGGTCTTTTTGTGTCAGAAGAATGTCTGAAAATTATTGATCTGCTATTTAAGATTTTTTTTTTTCTGTTTAAAACTGTTTATACGCAGTGTTTCTCAAATTTGGTCGAATTTACAGTAAAAATAACGTATTGTTTTTCTTTGCAGAAATCTCAATCAATTTGACTCCTCTGCTGTAAAGATGGTTTTCAGTGGACAGATGAGGATGTTCCCGAACTGAACCAGTCAGAACCATCGTCTGAACATGGCGGACGACTTCTACAGCAGCACCTTCTCAGCCTCTGAATCGGACTTCCCCTCCTCCTCCTCCTCTTCCTCCGCCTCCTTCCTCACGCTCGAACAGAGGGCGGCTTTCGTCTTCGTCCTCATCCTCTTCATTTTCCTCGGCCTACTGATCGTCCGCTGCTTCCGGATCCTTTTGGACCCGTACCGTAGCATGCCGTCGTCTACCTGGACGGACTACATGGAGAAGGACACGTTCGATTACCGGATTTCCTGACAGGCAGCCTGAGAGGCAGCAACCCTGACAACTCAATGCGTAAACTGAGGCAACGATCACATTGACCAATGACGGCACCAACACTGATGCACATTTTCTTACTTCTGCTTGTTCTACAAATCAATCAGAGCGAAATGTAATTAACTATTAGTAAAATAAATCACAATCAGCTGAATCAGCTTTGGGTAAAAAACAATTACTCTGTAAAAACACAAAATCTTACCAAGTAATTTTGGTCTAATATCTTCAAACTTCAAATAAGACAAATCTAACTTGAAAGTAACTTCTTGTTTTAAGTAAATAATATAAGTTAAATAATTTGTCAATTTGACAATATTGACAAAAACGTTCCACTGGCAGATTACTTCACTTGTAACACAAGAAAAATTTATTGTTTTAAAGTGAAAAAATTTGCCAGTGCAACTAGAACTGGTTGCTAGGAGATGGGCGGGGCTTGGCTGGGGTTGCTAGGTAACGGCTTTAGTTCTCTTGGCCAATGAAACTAGAATTTATTCATCAATATCAAGGAATTATTTACTCAAAACAAGCCTCTGTATCTTGCTAAAAAATTCCTTGTCAGTTAGTTTTGTCTTAGTTCAAGTTTGCCAAGATATTTGTAAAAAGAACTAGAGAAAAAAAAATACTTGGTAAGATTTTGTGTTTTTGCATTTCAATCAATCAATCCAGTTTATTTGCATAGCACATTTCAGCAACAATGCCGTTCAAAGTGCTTTACATCATAAAAACACAAAAATACAAAGACATGGAACACACCAAGATAATTTAAAAAAATCTCTTGAACTAATTTATAACATTAATTTAAAAACTTTCCTCAAAATACTACTTATTTTGCTTTTTCCAATTTCTCTTACTTACCATATTTCCTTGCAGTAATTTTACAGTATCACCTATTATCCTTTGCAAAACATTTTCCCATAGCAACACCCCAAATGTGGATAAAATGTGCCAAAAATAATTACCTAAAAACACATAGTGCATATAGACATCAATTGTATTTGCACAACTTGAAGATTTTTACACAGAAACATAACTTTAACTTAAAGGGCAACAGAAACGTCAAATTGTCAAACTTCAGAGGTTTTGATTTGACTCTGAAACCTTTTTTCTGCCAGGACCTTTAAACTAACAAGAGAAATGTGCATTTTGTGTTCTTGCTGCTTTGTGATCGTTGTCTCACCCAGCAGGCGTCACATCTGAGCAGAAACACACCAACTAACAAATGCAGAGGTGGGCAGAGGATCCAAAAATTACATTGAAGTAAAAGTGTTTGGTAAAAAGTTACTCAAGTAAATGTAACTGAGTACCTAGTTACCACCCAACTCTGCCTAAATGCAGTCAGTTTTGTTGAACAAATGTCAAAGAAATCATATTTTCTTGAAAGAAGAAAATATGTGAAAGGAGCGAGAAAATATTTCTGAAAATGTTGCTTTCAGAAAGATTAGATTTGCATCATGTTTGGCAAAATCTGCAACCCCTCTGATGAGCTCTGCGCGTCTGTAACTCGACGTCCAGTCTGTTTTCTGCTCAGATGTGGTGAAGGTTGCAGAAATCCCCGAGCTCTGCGGCTCTCCAGCATCACTGCAGGAGTCGGCAGCGATGCGGCGAATGGTGGAGAGGTGATTTCATCAACCGCCTGCTGGGCAACATGCTAGGGTTGCTGTCTCTCATGGGAGAAGAACTTGTTTTTGTTGCTTTATGTTTATTTGCAAAACTTATTAAGACTTTAAAGACTTGTTCAAACATTTTGTGAAGTTCACCTGGACGGTGAGGCGTTTATTTTTGTTCTTTTAGCGTGTGGAGGAGGAGGCTCAGGAGAGTTGGAGGACAGAGTGAACAAAGCTGTGTTGAATCGGTTTGACTGCAGCGATGAGACGAGCCGGTTTCCAGCGGCTCTCTGCCAGTTGCTTAGTAACTGGTGTTTTCAGCTAAAGTCTACAGTCAAAATGTCCAAATTAAAGAGGACCTGAAGAAGAAACAAGTGACCAACGCAAACACATTCCTCCCAGCGACACATTTTTTCGGTTTGGTGCAGAAAGGGATGTCAGCATGAAGTCTCGCCGCTTTACTGACATCAACAGGTGAGTCTGAGAAACGGCCTCCAACTGTCAAACACTAAGATGAAATGAAATTTAGTGGTTCCTCAAGATGTCACTGAAACTTGGAGAAAATATAAACACATCACCAGCCGGAGCAACAATACGACTCCCGGCTGGAACTGAGGGCCAAACGCGGCCCGCCGTGAAGGTTCATGGGGCCCAGAGAGAAACGCAAACAAAACTTTGAAAATAACCGTTGAGTAATTAAATATCTTATCAAATGAAAGCATCACTCTTCAAGTGAGAACTCTTCAAGTTTTCACTTGGAGTATTAGGGCCACAAAAAATTTAAAATCTGAATTTTTTTTTCTTGGAATTTTGACTTTTTTTCTCTGAATTTAACCTATAAGATCAATAAAATTCTTGGGGCGTCAATTCTAAGAAAATAATTCAGAATTCCTGGGAGAAAAGTCAAAATTTTGAAATTTTTCTGAGAATTTTGTTATTTGACCTCAGAAGATTAAAGCCAGAATTTTGTTTTTTCTTCTCCAGGGCCCAAAATATAAGGTTAAGTGGAAATTTGGAGGATTTTATGGATGAAAATGACAATAATTCTTATAAGTAGCAAAAAATAACAAAATACAAAATCAGTGTTTTCAATAAAAAAATTATTAAACTTTAATAAAAACTGCAGGTGTGTGTCTGTGTCTGGTGAATTTCTGGTGAAAACAGAAAATTTTACCCAATTAAGAGTAGAAGTGCTTCATAATAAAGTTACTCAAGTAAGAGTAAAAAGTACAGAGTAGCAAAAAATACTCCTAAAAGTAAATTTTTCAAAAAGTTGCTCAAGTAAATGTAATTGAGAAAATTTAACTAGTTGCTACCCAACTCTGTCTACACTCAGCTAACCAGCTACACTGTAAAAACACAAAATCCTACCAAGTGTTTTGGCCCAGTTTCTAGTGCAAATGTCTTATTACACTTGAAATAAACAAACTTAAAGTAAGTTTTCAGCAAGAAGCTTGATTTGAGTAAATAATTCCTTAATATTGATGAAAAATTGCTTGTTCTTTTGGCAGATAAATTAATTTATAACATGGGGAAATTGTCTTATTATAAGTTAAATAAACTGCCAGTAGAACTAGAATTATTTCATCATTATTAAGAAGTTATTTACTCAAAACAAGCTTCCATATCTTGCTGAAAAGTTACATGTAAGTTTGTTTGTCTAATGTTTAGTTTCTGGTGCTAATTTGCACCAGAAATTAAACACAACATACTTGGTAAGATTTTGTGTTTTTGCAGTGAATAACTTTCTAAAACACAAAAACCCAACTATTAGCTGAAACTAAATTAACACCAGGAACAGAAAACAGATCGTTAAATGCGATTTTGCATTCCCCAGACCAGCTTTTCCTTGGGTTTCATGCGTCTTTCATGTACATTAGAATTCCAAGACGCATTTGCAGGCGCAGCAGAGCGGCAGTGATGTGTATCTGCTTCTGTCTGCAGCGGGGCCCCCCTCAGGCGACCTGCACACACTCTGCTGTAATGGGCCTCCTCATGGTTGGAGGTCTCCTGTCAAATCTCGGAGCTGAAAACCCCCCGGAGAAGAGCGAGGGTTTGAAGTCGGAATAAAGAATCAGACGGGAAAGAGAAAGCAGCTCTCCTCTGGGCTTTTCCTCGCAACCAGGTGTGAACGCTGGAAGGTGGCACGGTTCGCTTCCTGAGTGGATGAAGGCATCAAGGCGCAAACCTAAACACAATGGACAGATTTCTGTTTTATTCTCAAAGAACTCGGTTTAGACGGTTATTTTAGGCCTCTGGAGGACGGTCCAAAAGGAGAAGTGCTCAACCTCAAATTCACTGGAAAAACACAAAATCTTACAGAATATTTTTGATTAGTTTCTAGTGCAGAAATCTTGAAATAAGACAAACTAACTTATAAGTAAGTTTTTAGCAAGATATCTTAAGTAAAAACTTCCTTAATATTGGTGGAAAAGTTCCATTGGCAAGGAGAATTAAAGCTGTTACCTAGCAACCCCAGCCAAGCCCAGCTCGTCTCCTAGCACCCAGCTCTAGTTCCTCTGGCAGAAGTGAAATAATCTACCAGTGGAACTTTTTCACCAACATTAAGGAATTATTTACTTAAAATAAACCTCTGTGTGTTGCTGAAAAGTTAGTTTTAAGTGAGTTTCTCTTATTTCAAGTGTAATAAGATATTTGTACGACAAACTGGACCAGAAATTCTTGGTAAGATTTTGAGTTTTTGCAGTGCTGAAACCAACTTGTAGCTTTCTCTCCTTGCAGATGGGCAGAAAGCCTGGAGCGATCTTCCTCCCTCCTCTTCCTCCTCAGCAGGACCCAATCTTCTCTTCGCTTGGTAAATCTTTAGGTTTTTGAAGATCTCCGGAGGGGGGCTTCGCTGCAAGGAAGGTGACCGAACCTTTACCTGAAAGGAACAAAAAAACTGACATAAAGTTTTACAGGACGGTTTTTTTAATTTCCTCTCTGGGGGAGAAGGAGACTTTTCTTCCTGTCCTTATCGGAGCCTCTGCTGATTGAAATCAGCATGATCAGGTGGAATCGAGGATATGAAATCTTATCAACTTGAATTATGTCTGGATTTTATTGTGTTAAAAGTTGCAGGAAGGATCTTTTGTAGTATTATTATTATTATTATTATTCTTATTAAGTTCTGGATCGCCTCCCGTCAATCCCAGACGGAGATCAGAGATGAAGTATGAAACTATTCATTCATTTATTCATTCATTTATCCACCCACCCTCCCATCAGGGCGTCTTCAGATTGAAGCGGTAACCATTGAATGGTTTCTTTTACACATTTTTCCATTTAATTACAGAAGAAATCACCGTCTCTTCACTCTCATTAACTCAGTGTCTCTAATTGCTGTTTAATGGCAGTTTGTGATTCATATTATTAGCTTTGCAGCCATGAATCAACTGCTGTGTTTAACAGAGTCTATATTTTATATCTATCTTTATTTATAATTAAGATTTCATCTGTTTTAAATTATCTGCAAAAGTATCAGATAAATTCTGTCTTATTTGCCTCACAGAAAACATCATAGTGGGTATTAAAAATTGATACAACCATGTTAAAATTCAGTGTTTTGATGCAAACATAACTTTATTTTCTCATCTGGGGTGAAAAAAGACCCTTTAAATGGTGACACTGATTTTCTACTAACATGAGTTTTAAGGGAATTATTAATTCTGAAAACAGGATTAAGAGAATTTCAGCATTTTCAGTTGTTTTTTTATTTATTATTTCTCCTTCAAGATTTCAGTGTGTAGCTAAAGTGAGATATATAGGTCGTAAGTCTACAGAGGAGGATTACAGCCACAAAAAAAAGAGACTCTAATCTCAAAATTCTGATTTCAATCTCAAAATTCTCAGATTTGAAAACTCAATCTGGGATGAAACTCACAATTATCACTTTAAAATAATAAAAATTAACTTTTTTCTTTGAATTATAACCCTAATTCAAGTTATCCATGAGGCAAATCTGGTGTTAACACTGAAATCTACCAGATAAATTTGGCACAGGCTTTCAGTGCAGGTTTACAAATCTTTTATGTGATTATTTCCATTTGCTAACTGAACACACTTTGGTTATTTATTTGAATTTACACAAAATTAGAAATATGAGTTGAGTTCTTAGATAAAAGTCAAAATTTGAGGTTAAAAGTAAAAAAATATATAGATTTTTTTGTAGGTGGCACTAATCCTCTTCCATATAATCACACTAAGTATGGATTTTTTTTAAAATGCAAAACAAAACCCTGCCATTTCAACATGAATACAGGTTTTTATACCCACTCTTGTACAGCAGAAACATGTATTTTCCCAGTGTGATGGCACTCATGACCACATATTCACTTCATATGCCTGTCTTGTAAACACACTCACTCATAGAGAGGAAATGCTGCCCTGCACAAACTACTGCTGACTGTCCCAGCGTCTCACTGCCAAACCAAACCCGTTCCTCTCCTCCATCCCTCCGTCCTCACTGCCGATTTATACCTTTACTCACTTTATCTCCTCTCCCTCCACTTTCATTGGATTTTTTTAATCTCCGCTGGCTTTACCACCTTGACAGGTAAATACATTTGAGTTGCTAAAGCTCATAAAGGAGTAAAATGGTGATAAAGGAAGAAAATAATTCTCCAAGACGTCTCACTGTCTTATCTTTTCACTTGCTCTCACTGCTGTCTCCCCTTGAAAGAGCTAAAACTCTCATTACTTCGCTGTCAGCTGCTGCAGAAAGAAAGAAAAAACCCGTGAGTAGGTTTTTCACTGCAAAAACACAAAACCTTACCAAGTATTTTTGGTCTAGTTTCTTGTGCAAATACCTTAGAAAACTTGAAAAAAGGCAAACTAACTTAAAATTAACTTTTCAGCAAGTTATATAGAAGCTTGTTTTAAGTAAATCATTCCTTATTATTGATGAAAAAAAATTTCTATTAGCAGGTAAATTATCTTATTTTATGGGGAAAATATCTTCCAGTGGAACTAGAACTGGTTGCTAGGAGACGGGCTGGGCTTGGCTGGGGTTGCTAGGTAACGGCTTCAGTTCCCTTTAGCAATGAAACTGGCACTTTTTTTTTTTTTACCAATATTCAAGTGCATTTTTAGCAAGATATAGAAGCTTATTTTCAGTAAACAATTCCTTAATAATGATTTTAATAAAGTAGTTCCCTTTGCAGATTATTTAACTTTTAACACGAGATTCTTCCCATGTTATAATTTATATGCCGGTAGAATAAACACTTTTTCGTCAATGTTAAGGGATTATTTACTGACAACAAGCCTCTATATTTTGCTGAAGATTTACTTTTAAGTTAGTTTGTCGAATTTCAGGTGTTGTAAGTAACTTAAACTAGGAACAAGACCAAAATTACCTAGTAAGGTTTTGTGTTTTTGCAGTGTTACTGAAGTTGGAGTAAGGTGCTTTAATGGACGGCTGCTTATTGTTGCTCTACCGGGACAAAAACGACCACAGTGTGTGTTTTATTTTAGTTTTGGTCATCAGTGACTCAAGACAGTCATTTATTTTTAAAACATGATTTAAATTGGTATTTAAACTAAACCTGTAATAAAAGGCGTTGGTATAAAAAACTAAACTAAATATCAAGTAAAATACAGTAAGATAACAACGGCTGAATTGAAAATGATCTAAAATAACCCCCAGATAAATTAAAATGACATTGGAGGGAGGGATATGATAAATCAGGATGAGTTATAATTTACTTTATTCATTTAACATTTGCAACACAAGATCATTAATTTGTTTTATGAGCTACTGAGAATAAATTATACCTTCTTTAGCCTCTCCAAGAGTTTAGGCAAAATGTTTAGGTTTTTTTTTTAATGGTTTTGTCGACATTTCTTTCAAAATTAAAGTGTCCAGAAAAGACGCTTTTTTTACAACATTGGCTGTTTTCAGTGGACATTGTCTGATGAACCAAGGCTTATACATGTATTAATGGAGACCTGGATTTTCTAAACTGCATTCTGCATATTAACAAAAAGAAATGTTTACAGCTCATTGCAAAAACATCGCGCTCAGTCTGACGTATCTACATGCAAATGTCTGCGCTCTGATTTCATAATGGGAGGAAATGGAAAAATTTACCAAAGGCTTCAACTGCATATTAAAAAGACTGAATGAAAAAAATTATATCAGTGACATAAATTGGTAAAAACTACAGAAGAGGATTAGAGCCATTGGAAATTATATAATTTTGACCTTAAAGTCACATTTCTGAATCTCAGAAGTCTGTTTTTTTCCCCCCTCAGAATTCTGATTTTAATTTCAGAAACCTGAACTTTTTTTTTTCTTTTTTACAGAATTTTGACTTTTATCTCAAAATTTTTATTCTCAGAATTCAGATTTTTTTTTTCCAGAGCTTGATTTTAATCTAAAAATGTTGTATTTTCTCCAAATTCTAACGTGTTTAATCAGAATTCTGGCTTTAATTTCAGAAATGTGACCTTTTTTTTTTTTTTTTTTTTTTTTTTTTTTGCAGAATTCTGACTTTTTTCTCAAAATTCTTAATCTCTGAATTTTGATTTTTGATCTTAGTAGATTAAAGCCAGAATTCTGAGAAAAAAGTAAAAAATTCTTTCTTTTTTAGTGGCTCTAATCCAAACAGTCGATGTGAAGATAAAATACATTTTCTTCGTGTTTTTTCTGTTCAAGCTGCAGCTCTTTTCTTGCAGAAGTCGAGTCTTTGGTAAAACTTTGTGTCTTTAAACCCTTTAATTCTGCCGTCTGCCTTTCAAACCATCCTCACCTTTCTCTTCCTTCTTCACTATTGTTTCCTGCTCCACAGCTTCATCCCCTCTCTCCCTTTGCATCCTTCCTCTCCTTATCCTCCTCTTCCTCTTTGCCTTACACTAAGTCTGTTTACATAGGATTAGAAACTCAAGCAGTGCTCTTGCTGATGTTTTTTACCCTTTAAGGGAGTCGGGACAGGAAATCTGTCTCTGCTGAGTGTTTGTTTATAATGTGTGTGTGTTTGTGCTAAACTTCGGGTACGGCCGCGGCTTTCATAGGTGAATTTCACCCTCAGGCTGTTGGTTTACTCGAGCTGTCTTTACTTTCACGCCGTACTTGAAGGAAAAATCCACCTGGAAACATAAGCAGAATAATTGGGTCCTGTTGAAAAAAGGCTTAGAGGTTGGAAGTGTCAGCAGGTCTGGGGGTTGGAGATGGAAACCAGTTCTACAAAAAGAAAAATAACTGCAGAGTTCATTAAAAAAAACGTAAGGCAGACACATCCAGATTTATCAGAGAAAAATGTACTGTAAAAAGTCTGAATTTGGAAATACAAACTAAGGAAATGTGCTTAAAATATGAAATGTTTCAATATTAAGTACCTTTTCTACAGGTAGTTGGTTTTATCCCCAAATTAAATATTCATAAAAACGTTTTAAGAGACGTCTTTGTGCAGAAGGTTATCTCCACTAAACGCCCATCTTTAAAAACAAATTAATTGTAAGAGAGTAATAATCTCAGGAGGCCCTGCACATAAATTTCGCAATCCTGTTACATTAAGCCAAAACTTTCACCATGCGATTCGTCTGTTAGAGAATAAAACTTTATAATCCAACTTTCAATCAACTTTATGGTCCCATAGGACTGATTGATGAAGAACCCTGGGAAATTATTACTTTTACTTGCCAATATTAAATCAATATATTTGTGGCATGAGGGTTGCTCCTTAGAGATGCTACACTGATAACAGAGGAACTTATACTCATGCTACACTATGCAAACGCTCAGTCTGCACTGATGAAAATACACTTACCTTGGTATGTTGAATGGGACATGCGATGGGAGCCGACCCAATTTTCTATAAATAATAAAAATATTACAGGCATCAGATGAAATGTCGACAGTGCCTCTTTTTATTTTCAGTTTATTTGAAATGGGACTGAAAAGGCCCCATCTTTATCCAACCTGTTGTATTCAGAAGCATCAACACTTTCCTAAAGGCACGTACACCCTACAAAGCACACACACTTCACATATGTAACAGTAGCTAAATTTATTCTTGTTTGGACTTATGTAAAACACATTTTAGACATTTTTTTTAGCATTGGTGACGAGATAGGAAACACCATAGGTGCCTAAATAGTGGCACCTAGTGGAGCAGCTAATCCTGCATTTTACATTCGCCTTTATGGCAGCAATAGGAAACAAACTGACAACAGGTTAATAATTATTTTCCAAAATGGTTGCCCCAGCAGATTAGCACAGATAGGTTACTGCTAGCACTACAATTTCAGCTGTCAAATATCTAGTTTACGAAACAAGCGTAGCTTGTGGTTTAACATTACAAGCTAATGGCTTACTAGTTTACACCAAGTTGGTGTGTTGTGGTATAAGCTAGTTGTAAACCACTAGCTTAAGCATTGATAGCTAATGCTGAAGTGAGTTAGCATTAGCTACCAATGCTAATCCGAACACACCAGGAACATATTATATATAAAAATGATTCAGCTTTTATTTCTGTGCTGATATAGCTAGTAAACTTTTTGTTGTTAAAGAAGGAAATGTGATGCTTGTGTAAAGTTACTGTTTACGTCGTTCAGCCATCACTTCCTGCTGTAATGGCCGCCGCTGTCGGCGTGAAACATAAATGCTGCTTTTAAGCCAGAAGAAAACAGCATTTTGTTTGTCAGAGGTCAGTAAGGTGTATTTTTCCTTCAAGTGCCGTGTGTTGGGAATTAAACTGTGAAGTCTCCTGTTTTAAACGCGCTTTTTGATGACTAAATAATGAACTGTTCACTCTGGTCTTTTCGTGTGTTGTGGCTTTGAAAAGGTGTCACATACAGTACAAGAACAAACTGGTATAAACTTTAGCTCAGTGTTTTCAGGGTTTTTTGTACCAGTTATACGTCCTGCTCTCTGCAGTGTTTCTCTATCTGGTGACAACTGTGATTTTCTCTTTGGAGTCGCAACTAAAAAAATCCAAAAACAAATAATTGGTTAATTTTTTCTTGTCTTTTTTTTTTTGTTTTTTGTTTTTTTCCAAATTCACATTTTTGGTAATAAAAAAGTTACGAGTAGCCGCTTTACGGATACGCAAGTTACTTTCTGCAAAACAGGAAATGTAATTGGTCTAAACACTGTTATGTTAAAAAACAAGCAAATAAATGTCAGACGCTAAGGATAAAAAAATGCACAACTGTTTTATTTTTTTACATAATTATTTAAAGCTCTAAGTAGCTTTAAACATTGTGATTTAAAGATAGCTTTAAAGATTACTTTTAAGCTTTTTTAAGAAAAACTAAGTTTAAAGGTAATCTTAAACTGTTTAGCAAACATTTTCTATGAGGTTATAAATACATTTTGCATAGTAGCAGTTAAACATGACGTAACATTATAACTAAATATGTTATTTTAATAAATTTTAATGGATTTTCAGAGTAAAACACTCAGTTTTTATGTTACAGTTCTGAGCCTGCAGAAGATGAAAAGCTTATTTTTTTATGTTTTGTTTTTTCAGCGGTTTTGATTTATTTGCTTACATAACTGTGTGATGCGGTAATCTCTCAGCTGTTGCTTTAATCTGGTGTTTTTTACAGTGAAGGTGACGTGCAGACTGTGTCAGTGTGTGAACAGAGCTTCAGTGCATCTCCCAGTGGTTGCAAGTCGTCACGTTAAAACCCGAGGAGTAGATTTACCTCCCTGCCTTCTGTTTCTGTATGAGGCTGCACTTCTGTTTTGTAAAGAAATAAAAAAATCTGTTGGGTCTTGATTTGCTCCCGGTGATTTTTGTTCTTCTTAAACACGAGACGTACAAGTGTTTGGCCAAATTGTCCGCTAAAAAGTATTAGTGGATCAAAAAGGCAACCTAAGATCGAGCAAATAAAGGAGCCAGAAATTTATTGTAATCAAAAACACGAATGCAATTTTTACGATGGTAAAAAAGAGAAAAAGGATTAAATTTCTGCCAAAAACTCTGAAATTTTGTGATTAATCTCTGAAAACTGAAATTTTCTAGAAAATTTTGGACATTTGAAGTTAAGAAATTTCCAAGTTCATTGTGGAAAAATTCTGATAATCTAAAAATTTATTTTTTCTAGCAAATTTCTGAGATTTTTTTGCAGAACTTTACTACTTATTAATACTTTAAGTTTCCATGTTTGCTGTATTGACAGAAAGACATCATATTTTCAGTTTCTTTTAAATTTTGAAATTTATTTTCAGTCATAAGAGGATTCACTTTATTTTAAAACATTGGCCATTTTTAGCCAAATTTAAGAAAGAATTGGACGCAGCTTTTCAGTAAAAGTCTTGCACTTGGGGGCCACATAAAATCCGTCCAAGGACCACAAATGGCCCCCGGGCCGCACTTTGGACAACCCTGTCTAAACCCTCAGTTTGAGGTATTTCTTTTTCAATGTCTGAAATCTCCCTGCAAGTTGCACTTTATTAATAAATTAGTTTTAGCTCTTATGCACAGAAATCCAGACACTTTCTGTTGAAATGTGAAAAGTTGCTTTGATTTGAGTCGTATTTTTAAATTAAGCTGCTTCTCTGTGGATGTTATTAGTCTGTATTTCCATAATCTGCATGTGAGAGTCACACATGAAAGCTGACAGATGGTTGATGGGTGGAGACAAATTACAACATGCTGCTGCTAACGAAAAGGAGGATTTCAGCGTTTTGCAAAGCCGGCATATTGATCTGATTTGGGTTTTTCAACAAGCAATGAATCTTAAAAAAAAAAAAAGGTAACAGGAAACCTTCATGAAGTTACATCAAAACTTTTTACCTGCTGGACCAGGCAGGATTAAAAACTCATGTTTAAAAAATAAGCAGATTTAGTACAAACGCGTTTTCCCTCTCCATGCTGGTAGTTGGCAAAAAAGGATACAAAAAGTGTGGTTCCCATGGCAACCAGTACTTAAAATAGCGACAACTCCCTGCATCAGTGAACTCACGCTACGGGAAAAGTGATAAAATTTAAATACACACACCAAATTATCAGGGTGTTTTGCAGATTGTTTCCTGTTTTGCATTGTTAACTTTATGGTTGTCTGGAAGCTTTGTTGTTTTTATTTATTTATTTTTTATTCTTTTCATTGTTTTGTTTTTCTTCCTTTCTTACAAGCGAATGGTTTACTAGTTTACACCAAGTTGGTGTAAGCCTCACTATTTGGTTTGGTTTTTCTTCCTGTGTGGTCATTTTTCTACTTTAGGACTTATCTTTACTGGGTTTCGGTTGTTACTTGTCAGATCCTGGTTGTTTTTTTGCTTCTCTCCCAGTCAAATCTCTGTCTTCAATCAATCAATCAATCAAGGTTTTGTGTTTCACATTTCAGAAACAAGGCAGTTCAAAGCGCTGTACGTCGTAAAAACTGTCAACACAGTCAACAGTTGAGAAAACCGGTAAACATTTTACCAGTTGCCATTGCTGCACATCGTGGCCAGGATTTACACCCGCAACAAATTAATGGAACAAAATCCAAAACATGAGGAATTAAAAGGAAAAAACTGGCAAATATGGCTCAGGAGAAACCCACATGCTGGTTTGAGCCGATTCGTCCTGATTCTGGCGGGCGCGCGTTACTCTTACCTTATCTAACACCTTTAGAAACGCCTGTGAAGCGACAAAGCTGCCTGAGGGCAGAGCATTTTAATGAAGGAGATGAAACTCAGGGAAACCTGAGCAGGTTGCTGATCAGAGCAGAGAGAGCAGGTCAGCCAGTTTGAGCGTCTTCGGTTAGGACAGGATTTAATTCATAAAGGTGGGATCTCTGCTCGACACGCTTCGTCACGCTTCGCCTGGAGATGAAGCCCTTCTCACTTTCACAACGTGGATCCAAAATACCTGAAGCTTGCAAAAAGAAACCAAAGTGTGACGTCCATTTGTTTACTGAAACATCTTTTTAATATGCTTGGCTGGGTGTAAATGTTCAGAAGAAACACAACATCTTTCCAAGAATATTTGGTCTAGTCTGGTGGAAATGTCTGAGTAAACTTGAAATAAGACAAAATTAACTTACAAGTAACTTTTCAGCAAAAAACAGGAGCTTGTTTTAAATCAATAACTCCTTAATATTCATGAAAAAGTTCTAGTTCCTCTGATATATTATTTAACTTATAATAAGACATTTTCCCTGTGTTATGAGTAAATTAATTCAGTACTTTTTCATCAATTATAAGGATTTATTGAATCGAAAAAGCTGTAATGTAAAGCTGAAAAGCTACTTGTGAGTTAGTTTTATTTTATGTGTACTAGGATATTTGCACTATAAAGTGGAACAAAAATACTTAGTAAGACTTTGTCTTTGCAGTAAAAATACACACTTTAATGAGGAAGAAAAGTTGTAAAATTCACAAACGTGACATTTTCACAAGATCTTACCAACAATTCCTAATTTCTGGTGCAAATATCTTAATACACTTGAAATTAGACAAAACTAACTTACAAAAAAGTTTTCAGCAATATCGTGATACATATCGTATCGTGACCAGAATATTGTATATCTGAAATTTTTGTATCGCTACATCCCTACTTGTAAGTTGGTTTAGTTTGGTTTCAAGTGTTCTAAGATATTTGCAGTAGAAACCCGACCATAAATACTTGATAAGATTTTGAGTTTTGCAGTGAACAAACTGCTGATTCTACATTAAAGTATATTCCATCTAAAATAACTCAAAAACCTTCAGCCTTGGACATTATTCTAGCATAGACATAAATATCCCAGATCTCTGATTGATCGAGCATTCGCTCTGTCTTTCTGCTTCAATCATTTCATGTTTAATGCTCATGTCTTTCTCTTCTTTTCCACCACCAACTTCGGCTGACTTTGACCTTTCCTGCTTTTAGTTAAGCCGAACCACCTCCACGCTTAATTATGTAGAAAGTAGTGCCTTTAAATGTCTAAAAGTGAAAAGCCGTCACTTACTGTGTGCAGCCTGTCGTCCTGACACTCGGCTGAGTTCAGATCACACGGCGTGGGAGGATCAGAGAAGAAGAAGTTTGTCTTTTGCACTGCGGACGTCCTTATTCAACGATGAGGAGGCTGATCAATACAACACAGAGCTTCGAATCAGGTGCTACAATACAATTTTTGGTATGGAGGCGCTTTAGCCTCACAGCTGCTAATTATTTGATTTAATTTCTCTAAAAAGACCCTTGGAAGAAACAACCTTCAGTTGTTGAACGCTGCTCTGAAAACAGGGAGGATAAAACTGGTTAAAACTAGTCATTGCAGTAGCTATTTAAGTTATGTAATACAAATGTTACCCTGTAAACTCTGATTGGTTGGTCTTCAGTTGTCATGACGACAGTAATAATGTGCTAACATTGTTTCCCAGTGAAGCCAATTCAAGTTTTGACTTGGCTTCACTTGACTTGGATGCCTGAGCACCTAAACTGGACTTTAAACCTTCTGTCAGTACAATATTATTTTGTTTTGTTTTTTTCTTAAATAGTTTGTGTTACATTGGATGAAACTGGCCAAACAGCCTCTAAAATCTCTTTTCCAGTCCGCGGACTATTTTCCCTGAAGTCTTGAAAACCATCAAGATGTTTCTGTGGGAAAAATTAGATGTTCTTTTAGTTGAACAAATGTTTTAGCTTTGAAACATCTAGCTAAAACATGTTTCAAAGCACTGACCTTAACTTATCTGCAGTGGTTTAGATGTAGTTCTTGGTGCCTTTGAACAATTCGTTGTGGTCATTCCTGAGAATGCTCACCATTTTTCCATGTTTTCTCCATTTGTCAGCATTGGATCTTACTGTGGATCACTATCATGCTTCCTTGAACAGGTTAGAATAAGTCTATATAAAATATGTTAGTTATGTTTTTTGCACAAAAAGATAATGAGATTTTAGTCTGAGCAGTTCTGCCTATTATGATCTCCTTTCAGGGCATCCTGTCACTTTAAATCCAAATAGATTCTGCTGGCCACGCCCCCCAGATCAACGTTTACACTCTTACGTGAAAATGGCTGCAAACAGACGCGCAGTTCTACATCTTTGAAAAGCAGAAGAGCCTGGTAAGTCAATAACAAAACACTTTGTATTTTCCAGAGCAGGTAACGGTAGAACCAGGCGGCCAAACTTGCTGGAACTCAGCTTGTGTTGCTAGGTAACGGGCTGGGCTTCGCTGGGGTTGCTAGGTAACGGGCTGGGCTTCGCTGGGGTTGCTAGGTAACGGGCTGGGCTTCGCTGGGGTTAATATTTACACAGTGCCTGCTTAATCTCGAGTCTTTTGAAACGGCTCATCTTCCAAACACCAAAAAACACATTAATCTAACGACAAAAAACATCAGGGAGGTTTTTAAAAGCTGTTTTTCGAAGCAGTAGAAACCAAAAAGGAAGTACAAAAACTTCCTCTTTACGGCCATTTAGCCAACTTCGTGTTATCAGAGAGGTTTTTATTTAGATGATTTCTTGATTCAACAATCCTGATAGTAATAGATAGCTATTTATTTTATAAGTAAAATGATCACTTGAAAGCAGTTTTTCATATTTACCCAGGTTTTATTTGTCTGATATAGAAATACATTTTCTACTGGATTAAGCCTTTAAAACACTATCGGCTTATTTAAACGTCTTTAATCCAGATCTAAATGCACACTGTGTTTCTCCTGATCATGACAAATGACTGCAGTGTGATTTATCAGGAGAGAGAGTTGGGACCAGACGCAGGATTCACTCAGGTCTGTTTATGTCCTGAACCAGCAAAACTAATAAACAAACCCTAAAGCTGCAGTTTTCACCTGCATAAGGAGGATCTCTTTATGAACCAATATTTCAATGATTCAGACTGAAAAATGCACATAAACAATGAAACATTCATAGTAAAACACTGTATTATTCAAAATCTGTTTGTTTTTTCATTTGTATTTCTGTCTTGTTGGTGCTTTCTGAATGTCTTTACATTTACAAACAGCTTTGGTTTGCGATTCCTCGGCTTGTAGGAAAGTAAAGTAATGAATGCGCGATCGTAAAAAGCATCAACCAATCACCTCCGGTCTGCCAGCACCGCTTCCAGCTGCGAGAAAAAAAATCTAACAGAATATGATGAGGTAATTTAACTCTAATAAAGTCGGTTTTATTCATCATCAACACAGCAGGAAATAAACCCTGGGATAGCTCACTTTTTTCTGTCTCTCATTATTCTCACTGATTATTCTAATAAAAATATAAAATGTGATTGACACTAATCTTCCTGCAACAATGTTCACACTATTTATATTTTTATTTAACTCTTACTGGGAGAAAATTGCTCATTTTCTTTCTGAATGAAGCTTTTATTTCATGATTGTTTCATTATTCTACCTGAGGATTTAAGCCTTTAAAGCTTTCGTAGTAGATTAGTTTAACATTGGGTTTATCGTTTTTTTATTTTAAATTGCTGTTTTTCCTTAATATAAATACATACTTATAACCATAATGCTGCCATTGAGCAACATGCAGTAATAAAACTGTTTTCTGCAAGCTAAGACATTTTTTAAAAGTTTTCCAGCGTTAAAAATGCTCTTCAAAATGTTTCCTGGATTCAAATGTTCCCTAATCGTGGGACTTGGAAACTAATTTTTATCAGCAGAATGAAAATATTGAAAGCAATAGTTTCTAATCGCAGATCCTCAACAGCCAATGCCCCGCATATTTCAGATTATGAAACTCTACATGTCATTTTATGTCTTAGATAAACATTTTATTGTTGCTGCTGCAGTAATTTACTAGAAAGGATTAAAAAAATAAAGTTAAGCCCAAAAGAGTGGATTAGGGCCACCAAAAATATATATATATAAACTAAAGTTAAAATTTTAAAGTAAAAAGTAATAAATCTCAGAGAAGGAAATCTTAATTTCAAGACAAAATCTGAATTCTGAAATTAAAATTCTAAGGAGAAAGTCTAAAGTTTGAGAGAAAAAACATCCTAATTTTGAGGGAAAAAAAGTCATATTTCTGATATTCAAGTTAAAATTCCAAGGAAGAAAAAGTAACAAGTCTGAGAAGAAAATCTTAATTCCAAGAAAAAAAAAATCTGAATTCTGAAAATTCTTAGAAAAAAAATCTAAAGTCTGAGAAATAAAATCCTAATTCTGACAGGAAAAAGTCAGAATTCTGACATTATGTTACAAATTTTGAGGAAAAATTCAGATTCTCAGATTAAAGTCAGAATTCTATGGAAAAAAACCCTACATTTTTAGATTGAATTCAGAATTATGAGTGAAAAACTCTGACTTTATTATTGTTGTTGTTATTTTCTGTTTTTTGCTTTAATTGCGTTCCGTATATTCAGAGTTTCCATACATGAGTTTATTTCTAATAGGAAATGCGACAGATGGTGAAGAGAACATCTTTAATCTGCAGTCTGGTTCTGGTTCTGGTTAATGGAGTCAAACTCTCACTTCTGTCATTTACACCTTAGGAAGGTTTTGTTGTTTTGTTACGTCTCGCTTAAGTTTCAAGTTGTTGGTTAGTTAAACTCTGACTCCTCCTAGTGTTCATTCGCTGCTACTGCAGCCACAATAAGGTTTGTTTTCAAACTTTAGTCTCTGACTGGATAAGCCTGACAGGATTTCTTAGCATTTTTAAGGTGACATGGAAGAAAAACACTTAAATTATCTTTAAATTAGAACTAAGAAGTGTTTTAAATCTTTGTGTTTGAGTGATTTGTAGATTATATTAATTATTGACCTGCTGAACTGAAGTCTTTATAATCTATCAGTAAAATATTTGAGTCTTGTCTTTTCTATTTATATTTTACACCTTAATTAGTTTTCCCTCTTTATGATTTGTCCTTTTTTAATTTTTTTAAATCTTTTTTATTAAAATAATAAAATCTCATCTTTCTGATGAACTTATTTCAGATGTTTTGAGCTCCAGAAAGATAACTAACTATTTGCCCTGTTACTGTGAGTCTTCAGCGAACGTTGAGCTCTTTAAAATGTTTGATTTGAACAAACAGGGGATTTAGTTAACCTATACAGGAAAATGAATCCTGTCACCAACTAGTTTTAGTCTGAAGAATATTAGAACATTGAAAAGGACATTTTGCAATTAATTTCAAACATGGCAACCACATTGTTCATGTTTAGAGATTTAAAGTGGAAGTAGAGGATAAATGTAATAAAATATGATGCCCTTCTAACTCACCAATGGTCCTGGGTCACACTTGGGACTCACCTGGATATTTATCTCCATTTTACTCCTGGAATCCCTCAGATAAAAGTCGGATTTCTGCGTTAGACCTTTGGCCGTTTTTTTCCAGTTCTGATAAACTTGTTTTCTGAAACTTTGTTTTGACCTTTTGATCCCTGTTGGTTAATAATGTACTCAGAGTGGAGGGATTTTTATCTCTCAGGACAAATAATAAACACTTGCTTCTTGATATTTACTTAAAAAGTCACATCCATTTGGGTAAATAATGGTATCATTGCTCCAAATACTATAAAAGTTGCAAAATCTTGCTGAATCTTGTCAGTACATTTTGCGTTGTGTCAGTGGACGCAAAGTTCAAATAAATGAAACTTTTCAACAAGCTGCTGCAGCTTTATCAGTACAGAAATATTATTTTACATCTAACTACAAATTATTTACACAAATGTAAATATATTTGGCTACACAGTTATATTTTTTCCTTTCAAAACTTCCAAATGTCTGAAAAAAGTTGAAAAATCCAGATGCTTCAAAATCAGTAAATTTTGACCCTCTGTAATTTTAAATGTTCTGTTGGTTAAATTAATCCCTGGTAAACAATGTTTGTTTTTTATTTCTTGAAACCAGGTTAAATGTTTCCTTAAAGATTTTTTTCCTCACTTATTATCTCACATCTATATGTAACACCGTCAAAGAGAAGTACTGAATTAAACAATATTTAAAGGTTTTTAAAACAATACTGATCTAATTAAAGAAAGAGACTAAGGAACACAGAATAATCAAACTAGAATGAAATAATCAAAACACAAAACAACCCAAAGATCCTAACAGAACATGATTAAATTTAATCTTCGTTAGCCCATATGATCAACTCTTAACATATTTTCAGGCTCATTCAACAGGTTTATAATAATTAGCCATGTGGCTAATAGCCTCCAAAAATGGGCGTGGCCTAACCCATGTGATGCAGAGGATTGTGTCTGTGGCGTTTTACCTCTATGAAGGAACATCTTCGGTTTAGGGACAGCAAAGGGATTACGCTCCTGTTTAGTTTTTGTTTGTTTGTTTGTTTGTTTAGTATCAGATACATTTCTCAGTACTCTGTGCATACAATCTCTGAAATATAACGTTTTAGTATTTCAAATGTCCTTTCAGCAGACTTTCAATAAAAGTCACTCCTATGAATCAGCAGCTTCTCCTGGTTTTTGTTTAGTTTGCAAGTCTGAACTTTGCAGCAGTCAGAAAAGGGACAGCGGGGATTCCTGGTGGAAATTCTCCAGGAATTTTCTGGCTTAACAAAGTTGCAGATCTCAACTTCACAGAAATCAATGTCTGTGTGGGTTAACCCCACAAAGTCCTAGATTTTAAAAGTCAGTCAAACAAAAGAAAACAAAGCAAATGATTGCTACACAAACCAGACTCTATCATTGCAAACTTTCACACACCTAAAACAAACCCTAAAGAGCAAAAACCCAATTTAAAAAAATGTTCTTACACAACCGTTGGAAAGTCCACAGAGTTGTTACCTAATCAGATTGTATAAAAGTCAAGCAGCTCACAGGACATGCTGCTGTGTCTCCATCTTCTTGCATCCTTTCTTGGCCTGACTGTCTCTGCGTTGTCATCATGAACCTGTGGCTCGGCTCGCTGCTGTTTGCTTCGCTGCTTCTGATTGGCTCAGCTCTCTCACCTGAAGAATGCCAGCCGCTGGTCGCACCCGTCTCTCTGGCCGACCCGTCTGTGGTAAACGCTTCCTCTCGTTCATACCCCAGCGAGATTAATACTCCGTTATTATCTGGATTTACTCATTTAGCTCCTACTGCAACAGTAATGTGGTCCTCATTGTTGTTTCTGTTTGCTTTTTACATCTTCATGGTAGTTTTATGTTGTGATTCCTGTCACTATTTGCATTTTCGTTGCGTAATGTTTCGATAAAAAGTTTTGCCACTAGGACAAGGTAATTTTTCAGCTGTATCAAAATTGGTTTATTTCACAAAACTGCAATGGAAACACTTTTATCTCATCATACAAGTCACATGATCAACAGTCGGACCAGGAAGAAGAAAACAACAGGAAGTAGAAGGAGGAGGATGGCACGCCATGTTTTTTAAGGATTTATCACATTAACAAGAAGTGTGATTTTAATTGCATTTCTTGAAAAAGCACAGTGGTGAAATTGTGTTTCTTCATTTATATAGTCCAAGATGAGCATTAGCTCTTTGTGAAACATTTGTCCAAGCAGGATTTTAATAAGAACATCTTTGTCAAAATCTTTCAATGCAAACCTTTACCTGATGTTCTGAAACTAGAAAAAGTGAACGTATCCATATCCAAATTGTACTTTGCATATAAATAACCAAACAATAATTTGGTTTTACAAGCAAACAGTAACCAAACGGTAGTCTCTTGGTTAGCTAGTTAGCTACAAAGCTAACCAGCTATGTAGCTGTAACCAGCTTATTTAGCTGGTTAGCTGGATAACCAGCATTTTACCATCTGCAAACAGTAAAAACACAACAAATATTTAACATAAAATCAGTTATTTCTTCATATCTCAAACACGTTCATGTTGTGAAAGTAACCAACTTCCTGTTTGTGTGCAGATCTATGGAAAAGTAAATTTCCTTGCAGGCTACACGGATCATGACTTTCATGGTGAGATGCTGAAGTTAACTGAAAGCTCCTGGGTGAACATCACAGAGTCGCCGGCTGGCAACAACGAGATTGTCATGTCTCAAGGGAGCAATATGTGAGTTCACAGTAAATATACACATTTACTGCATGTATGAAAGAAAAGCAAAACACAACCATATAATTACTGAGATGAAAATGCATAAAGGAAGGAAAAAGCAAAAAAATGAAAACTGTTTATTCATAATATCTGAAAATGTCGGATAACTGATTCTGATCAGGTTGTTTTATGTAAACATGCAATAAATACAATTTAGAGAAATTGTTCTATTGGTGGTTATATGGAAGCATTTTTCAGTTTGTGTGTCAAACTGTTGAACTGACCAGACTAAAATCTCACCAAAGAACTATTTTGTGTAAAAATTGTAATGAACATGTTTTGTAGAGACCATAAACTTATCTTAATCTGTTTAAGGAAGGACAATAGTTCAGCTTTAAGGTTGTGAACTCACCTTTTTCCTCAATAGAAATGGAACCTGCCTGAAAAACACCCAGAGCATGAAGATAGAGGGCAACACCGTAACGTCCTCATGTAAGTTTCCCAATGTGAGCTGACAAAAAGAGTCAAAGTCCTGCAGGAGAGGCCAGCCTGCAGCTTCCATTTAAAAAACAAACCATTTCAGGGCGGGATTTTACATCCGTTTATTTTTCTTTTTAAAAAAATCCAATTATGCTTACAAACAATGCACATTTTCTCAGTTTTATTGGTCATTTTCCAGATTTTTCATCCAAATTTCTATTGATTTTCTTGTTCATATATATTGATAATGTACAAAGAGTTATTGGGGCCACACTAAGAAAATTTTTAAAAATTAAATAAAATTATGAGAAGTGATAATGTTGCGATTTTATTCTTGTAATACTGTGACTTTATTCTCATTATATTATGACTTTATTCTTGAAATATTTTATCTTACTTTATTGTCATGTTATTTTGACTTTTTTCTTATATTATTTAGATTTAATTCTTGTAATACTATGTCTTTATGCTTGTAATTTTATTACTTTATTCTCGTAAAACTACAAATCTAATCTTGCAATGTTTTGAATTTATTCTCATAATATTGTGACTTTATTGTCATCATTTTATTACTTATTTTACTATTTATTTCTGTAAAATAAATATGAAATTGTTTATTTTCCTAAAAATAAATAAATATGAAAATTAAGATCCATTTTTCCACTTTTTTCTGTGTTTGTTCCCAGATCTTAACATGACCTCTGAGTCTCATGTGCTGCCGAGCTGCGACGGCTGTTTGGTCATAGCGATAAACAGCACCGCCAAAAACATCAAAATTCTCACTGAGCTATTTAAATTCAGCTTCGCAAACATCCAGGACGAAATCACCGCTCGTTCTCTTTACTTTCTAGGTAAGAAGAAATCAGTCGCATGGATACATTTTCTTGGTTTTATTCCAAACTGTAAATTAATTAATTTTCATTATTTGTTTTCCAGGCAGAGGATCGGCCATAGCAGAGTCTGACATGGAGCTTTTTAAGAAGCAGGCGAGCTGCTTGGGCTTCTCTGGAGAACCAAACTTCCTCCACAAACCTGAGAAAAGTGCGAACAGCTCTGAGGTTTCTCTGCTGTGATGGTTTAATGTGCTGGGATTTTCATTTTCCTTTGTCTGTTTCTGCAGGTTTTTGCAAAGAAGAGGAGAGCATCAAATTGCCAAGTTCCTTTTAGTCATTCTGCATCTAATTTGCACAATGACTAAAATGTTTTTTCCTTGTGCAACATGTAGTTTTAAAACTGCAAAGAAAATAAAACTGATGAATAAATATTGACTCCGTGTTAACCCACAAAAGATTGGTGACGATTGGTGAAGGCGGACATAAAGAAGAGCCAAAATGCCAACAGCAACAAACATTAAAGGCACAATAATCCAACACAAGACAAAGACGTGACTGTAAATAACAGAGAATTACAACAATATGAAGAGATGAACAAACGAGAAAATGGAGAAATAAGAAAAGGTCAGACATGGAAAACAAATGAAGAAAGAAAAACAAAGATTTTAATAAATTAAGCATGAATGGAATAATTCAGAGACATAATACATAAAGGAATAATAAACCTACACTGTAAAAGATTTGAAGGTGGTTTAACTTGAAACCAGCTGCCTTGAAAATCCTACTTAAGGTAAGGTAATTTTATTTATATAGCACATTTTCAGCAACAAGGCAATTCAAAGAGCTTTACATGAATTAAAAGGAAATACAAACAAATAAACCATAGGAAAGACAAAAAGAAGAAAGACAGCTAAATCCTTTTCTGGGTTAAAAGTAATATAAACTAAGCAGTGACTGTTCTTGTTAAGTATTTCTGGATTCCAAGTTCGTAGTTATTCTAATTCTGATTCCATTTCTGGGCTGTATAATATTGATCTAAATAGTGCGCACTCCACAATTTCTGATATTACTAATAGACTAAAATAATCCTTTTCTGGGTTAAATAGGGAGTACTCCACCGTTTCTAACAAACTAAAACAGAAAAGAGGAAAGGACACATTAGGGCAAATGGCAACATTCAGACAAAACAATGGGCAAAACAAAGATATGAGTGAAGGCAGTGACATCACAGGGCCATGAAACCAGGTGGCTGAGCCTCCTGGCAGAAGTCCGATAAAGGTGTTGTTTATCCAGGAATGTCCTTGGGAGCGTTCAGCTTCACAGCTGCATGGATACAGGAGGGGGTTAGGTGGGAAGGAGCGTTATGTTTACATATCTTCAAGGAGATTAGAAATATGCAGCCCTTCCAAGGCCACACGGGGAAAGCCAGTTCAGAAACAGAATGTCTTAAGTCAGCAAGACAGTTGATTTAACGAGAGACAAGTTGTCTAAACATCATTTTTAAAGTTCATTAATCTTGAATTATGAGTTTTAACTTAATGTTGCAAATATTTATTTCACAATATGCCTGAAAATAAACTGTCATCACCTAGTTAAAGAGCCACAGTTCCCTATTATTTTTTACTCACAATATCAAGTTAAAATAACTTATTTTACTTCAGAATAATTTAAATTCTTGTTTCAAATTGCATGAACAAAAATTTCTGATCTAATAATTAATCTTAATAAACATCCCAATGAATTCAGCTCAGAAACATTTAGTGTGAACACGACATTAAAATAAACATTTGTCTTAATAAAACACAAGAGTCAGATCAATGTAATGCACTTCGATCTCAGGACACAAAAACATGCCTCTAAGCATTCTGGGAAATAGTTCCTACGCCTGTCTTTTTCTTCTTTCAGTTTTTTAAGTGCTAACCTAAAAACTAGCTTATTCAACTCCTGGAGGTTTGACTAAATGAAGTTTGATAAACTGTTTCTCTGGTTTAAGGCTTCATGTTAGATGTTTTCTCTGTGCCTTTAGTTTAAAAACTTTTCCATTGATGAATAAAAAGGTTAGAGGATGACTCGGCAATTTGTCTCCCTCTGAACACACATTATCTTTGGACTGTGGGCCCAGAGTCATTATAAATCGACCGTCTCAGTGACTGTGTGTCACTGTTGGGTCTGAAAGCAGAATGGCTGCAGCAAAGGTTGCATTGTTGCTGCTGTTAGCAGCAATCGGCTGCAATGCAGCACCGGCTCCAGAGGAGTGCCAGGGTCTGGCCAAACGGCTGCCCACCAAAAATCTGCATGAGGTGAGTCTGGTTCTGGCCGGTCTTAGACCACTGGGATGAGACATTTTCAAATGTTTCACTGCAGAAAAATTAAATCTTACCAAGAATTTTTGTCTAGTTTCTAAGGCAAATGTCTTAGTACACTTGAAGAAGACAAAAGTAACTTAGAAGTAACTTTTTAGTAAGAGATAGGAGTTTGTTTTAAGCTAGTAATTCCTTAATCTTGGTGAAAAACGTTCTAGTTCCACTGGAAGATTATTTCACTTGTAAAAAATGTTTCAATTGAAATTATCTGTCAGTGGAACTAGAATCAAGCTCTTATCCTGCTAAAAAAATACTTGTTAGTTTTGTCTTATTTCAAGTGCACTGAGATATTTGAACTAGAAACTAGATCAAGATTACAAGATTTTCTGTTTTTGCAGTGTTTAATCGTGTCAAACAATTTGTAACATTTGTACGTTTTACTCACTGCAAAAACTCAAAATCACAAGTATTTTTAGTCTAGTTTCTAGTTTAAATATCTTAATACACATGAAATAAGATAGCTAACTTAGAAGTAGCTTTTCCAAAAGATATAAAAACTTTAAGCCAATAATTCTATAATGTTGTTGAAAAAGTAGTTGTTAGCTTATAACATAATCGGTACTAGTAAAAACTAGTAATTTTTATCAATATTCTAGAAGTACTGACTTAAAATAAACCTATATTTTTCTGAAAAGTTATTTGTAGGTAGTTTTGTCTAATTTTAAGTGTACTAAGATATTTGTTCTCGAAACAAAACCTAAAGTACTTAAGAGTTTGTGTTTTTTGTAGCCCTGATTAAATGTCCAGTGATTTACTCTAGAAGTCATATTACCAGTAACACAGCAGGTCAGTCTGCTTAAAACCATTTTGTTAATAACTGTTAATCAAACATTCCCTCTTTTCTGTGTTTCTGCAGATTTACGGTGAATGGGTTCTGGTCTGGTCCGTCTCTGACTTTCACGCTGGCCAAGATTTACTGGGGAACTTAACCAGCTCCCACGTTGAGTTCAGACTCCTTGCTGACAACAAAACAATCGAGTACCTTGAGAAGAACAAATTCTCGTAAGTTTTAACATTAAATAAAACCTTAATCCCGAGAAACTGAAGCTGAATAAAAACTACACTGTAAAAACACAAAATCTTACCTAGTATTTTTGGTCTAGTTTCTTGTGCAAATATTTTAGGACATATGTTTTAAGTGAAGAATTCCGTCATAAAAAAATATTAGTTTCACTGGCAGATTATTTCATTTATAACTTGAGAAAAATGTCATTTTATAACTGACAAATCTGCCAGCAGAACTCGAACTGGTTGCTAGGTGACGATCTGGACTTGACTGGGGTTGCTAGGTAACGGCGCAGTGCTGGTTTATTGTGAAATAAATTAAAAAATCTTCCAGTGGAACTTTTTAAAATCATAATTGATGAATTATTAACTTAAAACAAGCTCCTATATCTTGCAAAAAAGTGTGCTATTCGCACTAGAAATTACACAATAAATGCTTGGTAGATTCTGTGTTTTTGCAGTGGAAACAATAGATTAGAGTGTGATGTTAGAATAAAAAGTTGGAAATGAGATGTCTGCAGTTGATTCAATAAATCTGCTGGTGTCGTTTCTAATCTGTTTCATCAACTTCTAGCAATTCCTGCACCTCCTACTTTATCAACTTGACGATTCCCTCTGACGACGGTGAACACCACACATTGCCCACTCATTCAATCAGTAAGTTGCACACAAACGTAAACCCACAACAGGACAGATATGTTAACTGTGAATATTCTAGTGAGTCAGCTTTTTAATGTTTTAGTCTAAAGAAAAACAAAGCACCACTATCACCTGATGTCTGTATATTAGTGACTGTCAACAACAACAGATATAGCTATTTTAGAAAGCAATTAATTTATTGATTATTCTGATGATCAACTGGTTAATTGGATTTAAAAATTGCACATTTCATTTGACCACTTTAACCACTAGATATATATTAAAAAATGCAAATAAACAAATAATTAAATTCCCTTTCTAAATGAGAAAATAAAATTTTATTGCTTAAAATACAATAAAGTTAGCGAGCAAAGCTAAAACTATACCACTTTAGGAGTTTTGGCTAAAATGTATTTACAGACAAAGGTGTTTATATCTTAAACACAAAATGTATGTATGTTTTTGTACAGTTTTGTGCTAATTACGTCTCTGAATATGATTTTTTTTCAGTAAGTAGTCTTTTTTGAGCCTGTGTACTTCACTTAACAATTGATGACTAAATTAGTTGACGATTATTTCAATAATCAATTAATCACGATTAATCGGATTAATCGTTTCAGGACTAATGGAAATAAATAAAACCGGGTGAAAAATCAAACAAAACATAAGTTCTTTAGAGTAAACCCTAATAATCATTTGACTGTCACACAATAATGCCTCATTTATAACATGTGAAAATCCATTAAAAGTGAAATAATCTTCCAGTGGAAATATTTACTTAAAACAACTCTTGCTTAAAAGTGATCTGTAACTTCTTTTTGTCAAATTTCAAGTGCACAAAGATATTTGCACTATAAATATTCACCATATATATTTGGTATAGTTGGTGTTTTGTGCCTTTGCTTGCATCAGTGTAACCAGCCTTATTTCTGTGCATCAGGAGTGGAGAAGGACGGAGTGGAGGTGGAGTGGAACGACCCGGCGAATGTTGAATTCTACGAGAGCTGCGACGACTGTCTGCTGATGACCTTCAAATCTTCACGGATGAAATTCCTGCTTAGCTACAGTAAAACAGACACTCACTCACTTTAATAAATTCACTAAGGATAATTTACGTAATGATTTATTATTTGGGAAGTTTTGCTGAAGCGATGTTGTTTTGTTTGTGAATCAGGGAGGGAGGGTTCGCACCGGGATGTGGAGCAACACAAAGCCGCCCACGATGACCATAAGAAACTGGCCGAGTGTCTGGGAGTCCCACATGACAAACCGTACACCTACGACGGAGTGGCAGGTCTGCCACTGTGACAGAAACACCATGACGCCTCCAACAACTCCAGATAATTCATATTTTATTTCCCTTAACAGATTTCTGCCACAAGAAGTCCGCTCCAGAATCAAAACAGGGCCAGTCCTGAGTGGAATGAAGAGGAAGAGTCAACCTCTATGAAGAAAGAGCGATTAAAACACATTAAAAACCTATTAGCATGTCTGCTTTTCTTGTGCTTTTCTAAAATTATTTTTTATTTACTAATTATTTGTTGTCTAGTGATGCAAATATTTTAGTTCAGCTTAAATAAGACAAAACTAACTTGTAAGAATGCTAGCTCCACTTTCTTCAAATGAAGTAATCTGCCAGTGGAGCTAGCAGATTACTAGCCAGTAGAGCTAACACTTTTTCATCAATATTAAGGGATAATTAACCTAAAAAAAAGCTCATATATCATATATCAAGCTCATATAACTTGATAAAATTTGTTTTTTGCAGCGTAACTTCGATTTAACATCAGTTTCTCATGGGATTTGTGTTCTGTTTTCATGTTTTCATGGGATTCTGTTTTCTGCTCATTCACACTTTTTCTTCATAGACTCATCAACAATCTTTGGTGGATTCTCAGTCATTTTGAGTCACTTTGTAGTTATTTGGATATTTCATTTATGAATGAACAAAAAAAACAGCGTTGAACAAAAACTCATTGAAAAACAAACAGGGATCACAGGGAGCCAGAGCAGAACAAAAAAAGGGAAACCAGGTACAAAAACCAGCAGGGTGAAACAGGAAAGTAACAGGATTAAACTGGAGGAACCAGCAAGGAGATGAATAGACCAGGTTAATTGACTAACTGGTTGCAGGTGTGTGGGAGAGAAAATGCACAGCACACAACAGGGACGTAGGAATCTTCTGTAACTAGACACACAGAACAAGTAAACATAATAAACTAGAATCACTGAGAAAGAACTGAACTAAAGTAAAATAGAAACAAGAATCAAGAACTAAGCATCACAATAACAAAACAATCAAAACACCAAACCAACCCTGGGTCCTGACACTTTCAGGGTACAAACAGGAAGCAATAAAATCTGAGATGAATGAATTTTACCTTTGGCCAGTTCAGGCCCAGAACCAGAATAAACCAAACGGTCGTTTTCCAGTTAGTTTCTCCCCTGATAGAGTACGGTGCATTTGTGTTTTTATTCGATCTCAGATCAGGATGACTGTAGCAAAGGTTGCATTGCTGCTGCTGCTGCTAGCCGTGATCGGCTCCACTGCAGCTCCGTCTGCAGAAGAGTGTCAGGTTGTGACCAAACGGCTGCCCAGAGAAGATCTGCACAAGGTGAGTTTGGTTCTGGACCGGGTGGTGTCTCACTTTATCACCAAATGTCTTCATTCAAAAAAAAATCCTGACTATTTTTACATGTTAAGTGTTCCTTCTAAATCAGAGGTGGAGGTTTAGATTGAACTTTTTACAACAGAATTGGATCATTCTTACGAAAACAACAGGCATAATGTCAACTGCTGATGTAAAACAGTGTAAGCAAAGTGCTGTGAACCAGTAGGAACTATAAAATCTAAAGGAATCCGTTCTTAAATCTGCTGGTTTTTGTTTTAAGACACATTTCAAGGTTCAAATGATTGGAAGTGATCAACACTGTTCTATAATTTTAGTACAGTGGTTCTTAACCTCTTTTCAGGTACCGAACCCACCAGTTTCATATGCGCATTCACTGAACCCTTCTGCAGTGATGAATAAAATATGATTTTTTTTTTCTCCAAATTCTAGTTGGGTTACCCACCTAGAGTCTAGTTGGGTCACCACAAGATCACCAAGTCTTCTTAAAAGGTAGAGTCTTCAAAATATAGTCAGTGTTTTCAGCAAAGTTGAGTTGACTGTCCAGGAACGACCCAAGGTATTTAAAATCTGCCAGTTTCAACAGGCTGGCCATCGAGAGAAACTGGAACCACTTTAAGGTCTTGTTTAGATTATTTAATTAGCTCTACATTCTTAAGAGAATGAAATAATAATAAATAAGACTTTGTGGTATTCTGATTTAGTAATGTAATTATATTAGTTGTGTTACCACCTCTACACCACCAGAGGCAGTAGCAACACCGAAAAGATACGACTAAGGAGCAGATTTAGAAGTACACCGTTTTAGTATAAATCAGTTCAACATTTAACACACTATGTCATGATGACATGTCATACTTTTCACATCGAGTTTATATAACAACTGATTAGGCATGACCTTAACCTGTGACCCTCGATGTGTTTATATTTGTCTTTCTGAGTACAGGTATGAACTTGAATTATTGTGATTAATAATGTCACAAAATCCTTTTCAGTATCATTGAGCTTTGAAAAGCATTGACATCGTTTTCCAATTCAAAAATACTTTATTGATCCCAAAGGCAACTTAAATGCTGTTTATATATAGTAAGCTGGGTATTTTTATGAAATCTCATTTTTCAGGAGCAGACCGATCTGTTCAGGTTTCATAGGATATCTGATTACTTCAGCTTTAAAGGCTGCAATCTTTTAATGAAAACTCAGTGATTAGTTTAGTTTTTTATATAAACTTTAACATGAAAAATTATCTTTACATAACTAAAGGTCACTAAAAGGGTACTCAACAAATTTGCTGTTTCAAACAAGAGAAGCCTGGTTTAAAATTGTTGCATTTTGTGGGTATCATGATTTTCTGCATGTGTTCTTTTGATTGGATGTAAAATGTAATTTTTGCAAAAAAAAAAAGTTAAATATTTTGGTCCTTGGCAACTCTGAAGTAAATAGAGTCAAGCTCAAGATTAATTAAATTGCTAGATATATGTTGAAATTCAAGCATTGTTTTGGGGTTGTGAGGCTGCTTAGTTTGCTATAGTGTGGGCCGGTTCTGTCTCTATCAGATGACTTCTTAAATAAGCCATAAAGGGGCTTCTTTTGTCTTCTGACTGTTCCTTTAGGACACTAATTATCCCGCATATTGTTCCCATATTGCTGTTACAACCTTTATTTGTTGAAATGAGAACACACTTCCGTTCTCATAAGATATAAATTTAGTTTCCTTGCTTTTCAGAAGCGATTAAATTTAGTTAATCGCTTCTGTTGCCATTCATATAAAACTGTGAAAACTATTTATTACCTCAAATATTTATGACCAGAAAGTATTTAATTCTAGCACAAATCTAAAAAATAAAACATCAATGTGTAACTCCAAATTAGAAATTCGCCTGATTTAAATAGTTTTGCCACCCAGAATTTCTAAAAACGCAACACAAGAGACGTCACCCCGGCACGAGACTCCGATTTCCGAGGCTAATAAAACGCAGCATGAGTTGATAAATGGCCGCTCGTATTCTCTGTAAAAGTTAGAGTCATTGCTGTCCTGAGCACAAACGGATCTCGCTGTAGAATAATCCACCTTAAGCCCATATTTTATAAACAAAAGTTTTGTCCAGGCAGGTTAAACTGGAGCTTCAAGCTGTTACGTGTCAGTTATCATTTGGTGGGCGGGGCTTACCGGAGAGGAATGTAAACAGCTAGCATGCCTGTTCAGCAGCTACCATCAGCGCAGATCACTGAGGCGCAGTCGATGCTGAAAAGGTGAGGCATTTAAAACGTATCTTCTTTTCAGAAGTGACAGCAGGAATCAGAGTCGTATTTCCTTTACACTTTCCACCATATCAGTTTATGTTCTTGCTGTTTTAATAGGTAAGTTAGCTCAGTTAGCCCAGGCAGCTAGCTGCAGGTTTGCTAACGCAGGGAGTTGTGTCAGAAAGCTGCTTAATGATGATGAGGCATCAGCAGGACGGGCGTTTCATGGCTGAGGCAGGTTCCTTTTGAGGTGAGGCTAGTTTTAAAAACTATGCTAAGCTAATTCTGTCAGGAGTTTGAAACAACTGTTTCAGGTGAAAGTTTTGGCTAATAAAATGTGTTTAATAGAGCGACGCTGTGTTTTCTTATCTGACTAGGAAGCATTGTGGTAAACTTAAGCAGTCGCTTTGCTGACTAATGATCGTTGTCAAGGAAGCCATTTGGTTAAAGGGTAAAACCTCACTTCGGTTACTTTTCACTTCCAAACGATAACGTACATCAGACAGTTCCATGCGTTTACTTCCTGTTTCGCCTGATATACATTTCTAAACTATAAACATGTACGAAGCAAGGTGTGGCGAGGTCACCTGGCCACATATAGATCAGCAACATTTTCAAACGAGTCGAGCGTCATAGCAAACAAAAACACTGAAAGAACCTTTAAATAATACCACAATTTCGTGATAATTAAGGCATCTTCAGAGTCTCAAAAGCTGAAATTTTGAAGTAATTTCGTTTTATCTTAAAACCCATGGGACACTGTGACAAATTTTATTTTAAATATTTCAATAAATTCAATACAAAAATACTTTATTAATTCCAGAGAGTAGCTCATATTGTCCAAGATTCTTCAGAGTTGTTGTTGATGCTGTGGGCAGGAAGGCTCTCCTGTAGCAGTCTGTATTACAGCAGATCTGGAGAAGCTTCTGACTGAAGACACTCTGCTGTGAGGTACAGCAGTCTCATGAAGAGGATGCTCAGGGCTGAGCATAGTTTTATTGATTTTTATGAAGAATCTTTTCCACCATCTTCTCCAAAGGTTTAGAACAGAACCAGCCTTTTTTATCGGGATGTTGAGGTTTTTTTTAAGTTCTGGTTCTGATGCTGCTGCCTCAACAGATGAGATTATATTCTCAACAACAGACGTGTGGATTATATGCAATATTTTGCAGATCATACAGAATCTTATCCCCAACTCCAACATCTCTCTTCAGCCAGACAGAGAATATAAGAGGAGTGGCAAAAGCAAATCAGGTGGATTAGCAGTGCTTGCTAACAACTTGTGTCATCCAGGACATGTTGCTTTGGAATATCATCTCTGCTGCCCAGAAATTGAGCTAATCATCAGACTGTCATACAACATTCTTCAGTCAGAGGCTCCTTCAGATTCGTTGTGAGACGGACTGCTATTGAACATCCTCAATGCCCACAGCATCACCATCCAGATATTTAGATATTAATCTGATTAATTGTTTCAGCTCTAAGCAGAATTATATCCAAGATAAGAAAGAGTCTGAAAGTGACCACAAATAGATCTTTGTTTTCTCTCTTCAGGTCTGACTGGACGTCTGCTGACTGAAGACTCAGAAAATCCTCCGTTCCTTTTCCAAAACTGGAACGAAAACTAAGAGGACAGTCATTCTTTTTTATTTTTTTGGGTCTTTTGGTTCTCCAGTGTTCATTCATCAAGTCAAGATGAGAGCCTGACCGGCACCTGAAACTCTGTGGATGTTTATTTACAGACAAAAAGGCAGAAAAATGCTGTTTTTTTTCTGGGAGTTTCAGCAGAATTTGGTCACACTGAGATGTTCTTCATGACCCACAGAGCCTCATCTTCCACTTAAATCACCCTGAAGATAGATGTGCTGATCTCATGAGCCATAAATTAATTTCTCCTTTAAAATCCGGAAAGCGAAAGCCCGAGTCTGTCTGCATCCAGTCTCATCGGTTCGGCTGATCATGGCAGAATCCAGCGCTCCGCCAGCCGCTCCAGCTAGCCTGCTGATTGGACACAGCAAAGAGGAGGCGAGTCTGAACACGGAGAGCCGCTCCAAAGAAATGAACGACTCCGTTCTTACCGATGGGTCTGACCGGGAGGCGAAAGTCCAAAACATCAGCAGTAAAGAACCGGAGGAGGATGACGAGGCCACACCCACACCCCCTGAGTCATCGCCTAGTCTGTCGGAAAATGAGACGATGACCATCGCTACGACGGAGGACGAAACTCTGTCGGTCCAGCTCAGACACATAAAGACTGAAGGGGGAGCAGGAAGAGGAGCAGAGCCAGGTAAGACGGCATCACAGATAAATAAATGTTTAATTCAGTCGTATTTTAGTATCAAGTTAATGTTTTATGGCTGATGAGCCAAACTCGAGGCCCGGGGGCCAAATCTGGCCCACTATAGTTTTTTTATGAGGCCGACTGGACTCCAGATGCCAAATTATATAAATCAATCCCTCTAGTTTGTTGTGATTCCTTGACCTCTGACATTTTCTTCGCTAAAGTGGTAAAAAACATTGGGTTCAAGTAACACTAACTCCCACTTGTAGGTGGCAGTATTTCTTACTTTTACTGCTCTGCTGCCTCAGAAATACTGGATTTCAAGTTAGTGCAGTCAATATGACAGGTAACAAAAAGTCACATTTTCACAGATAATATTTCTAAATTAGCAACAGAGAATCAGTGAGTCTGATTGTTCTGTACCATTTAATTTAAGGAAGAACTTATCAAATACACAGCCATTTATTGATACTTTAACAGTTTCTTAATGGGTTTTGTCAATACATTATTCCACAACCGGCCCTTGATGTGACCCAAAATTAAAATTAGTCTTTCTGAGGGGTCATTTAAAAAACTTCCAGAATGTAACATCACAAATCAGAGGCCCAGCCGTTACCTAGCAACCCCAGAGGCATTCCGCCCATCACCTAGCAACCCCAGCGGTGTTCCGCCCATCACCTAGCAACCCAAGTTGAGTTCCAGCACTTTTAGTTCCGGAAAAGCCAAGTTTTGTTGTTGACTTACCATCTATAAAAACACTTTAACATTCTTGTTGGTTGTGTTCAAAGATGTTCCCAAAAAAAAAAAAAAAGCATCTGCTTTGAGTGGTTTTAATTAATTAATTAATTTATTTATTTTAAGTAAAATGTTGTAATGCTTTTTTTTTTTTTACATTGGCTTTCCAAAAAATACATTTTAATTGGAATGAAATATGACAATTTCTTATTATTTTATAATAGGATGAATGATAAATGTGGGTATTTCAAAAAAGATATCAAAAACAAGCAATGTTAAAATAAGTTTAGTTAGTAAAAACAGAGTAAATCCCCATGGTGCTGATCTAAACTAATCTTTTCACAGCTAATGTGTATCTCTGGTTTTATATAGTACATTTCTAAAAGGTTTATTTATATATAGTACTGTATTAAAAACCCAAATAACTTTATGTCCTGTCCTCATTTTCTCTGAAACTGCAGCAGCTGCTGCAATAGTATCCGTCCTTCTCTACTCATTAACAGACTCCTCTGGACTTTTAGCCTGTACAAGATACTCTCAATGTAGGACAGGCTGTTATCAGTACAAACTTCATGTTTATTACAAATTAAATATTAAAGAGTAAAGAGTTTCTAACGATAAACTATATTTTAACTATCCACATATAGTTTGATATTTGAAGACATGTCTTCAGATGTCTTCACATCTGAAGACATAAAGAGGCTTCAGATGTGAATCCGGTGACAGTCGGTCCCCTTGGTATAAGCGGGGCATTAAATGCCAAACTGGCTTGCTGTATTTGGTACGGCTGCTTTCTGCTGGTTAATATTCAGGAAACTGAGAGGGAGCAGAAAAGCTTCAATGATCCTTTGTTTTTTCTGGACATGAGTGGCGGCAGGCCAGCAGAGTAAAACAACGGGAACAATCCCACCAGCTGCTTAATATTTAAATTGCTTTAAATGGGATTAAATCATATTTTCTTTAATAAAGTAAAGTGCTGTGTAAACAGTGTGGGGGAGGACGGTTCTGCTAAAGTTTATTTTAAAACAAACTTTTCGTGTAACAACGATTTTAGAAATATTACATAAAATTTTATATGGATGGAAAAAAGTATATTCTTTTATTTTCTAGAGAAACAAAAATCTTCCATTATTCCTACTGTAACTAAAACTTAATGATGTTTTGTAGCTCTTATAATCCATCATAACTTTATATTTGGCATATTTTTTATTTAAAAGTAGCGGCTGAATTGTTTTGTTTTTTTCTGTAGATTTTCAACTTTAGTGAGTCCAGATAAACAGAATTAATTCATTTAATTAACAATAATCAGGGCCACATTTAAATCACTGATACCTGGGTTCTACTGAGGTTTACAAGATAATATTTGAAGTAAAATGTGATCAAATAAAGCTGCAAAGTTCTAATAATGTCATAAAGTTTGTGTTTTACTTCCATTAATAGATTTTGACTTTAACAAACAGTCAGAATAAAGAATGCACCGATATTAAAATTTGTACCAATATTGATATCTGAAATGAATTTTGCTGTTATGGCCAATAATTGATGTTAAAAATATTTGACTACAGTTTTAACACCTTTTGCAAACACAAAAACAACCAGAAATAATCGGAAATAAATACTGTTTTCTCATATCAGCCCAGCTTTATTTATCGGACCGATACAATATGTTAAAAAATGACTAATATCGTCCGGTACCGATGTTATCGCTGATGTATCGTGCATCTCCAGTCATGTTAAATATTTTATATTGATCATTATGTCAGAACAAATCCTGTTTCATTCTGTTGCCTTACTGTTACTTAAATCGGCCTGAATCATCCTCTCTCTCTCTGTTTTCCAGCTCCAGACCCGGACCTGGAGGAAAGCTCGTCTGGGATGACGGTGGCGGACTCCGATGAGCACAGGGAATCCTCCGACTCGGCGTCCTTCTCCATTCCCAGCCTGGACCTCTCCGACGGCGTCACGACCACGGGGAACTCTTTGGACATCGAGGACGGCTTGTCGTCTGCCTGCTCCGCTCCGGGCGTCGAAGGCGGCTCTCCGTCCGCCGAAGCTCCCGGTCTGAAAGCCGAGGAGGCGCTGGAGCCGGCAGGTGAGGTCATCCCTCTGGATTTAACCGTCATTAGCCGCGATTCCATTATAAATACGCACAAATCTTTGTCTAATCTCGAAAAAACACAATTTCATAAATGCGTTGTTTCCATTAAATAAGAAATGCAACAAAAATCACTTGTGAATGAACTTAAGTCATTTAAAACATGCAGCAGCTTCATCCTCCTTCCACTTCCTGTTTTCTTCTTCTTTGTCTTTTCCACCAGCAGTAACATCCAGCTGCGAAATACAACCTCATCCTCGTGCAAAAACTTATCAAAAAACAAAACTGCCATGTTTCCATGAAGCAAATTTACTTTTACAATTCCAATTTCCAGAATTGGCCAATCGAAACGCAGCTAATTAGCATGAAACCACACAAAATAAATTTTCTGAATGGAAACACGACAGTCTTAAGAAAGTTTTTCAGTTAAAAAGTTTGTTAGGAGTTTTGTTTTGTTTAATCTCATCACTTTTTCAAAGATGTTTTACAGCCATTAATGTCGTTATAATTGTAATGTTTAAGTTTGATGACGTTTGAGCATTAGCTGTAGTTTTCCATCCTTACCACAGGGGGAGCTGTTGCTGCCGCTGCTGTTGTTCCTGCTGCTGCAGCGGCCGCAGAGCCAGGACCCTCCATGCCGGCTTATTACCTGGTGAAGTGGATCACCTGGAAGGAGAAAAAGACTCCCATCGTCACCCAGAGCGAGAACGGACCCTGCCCCCTGCTGGCCATCATGAACACGCTCTTCCTGCGCTGGAAGGTAGATCAGACCGTCCTTTAAAGCTCCTAGTAATACGATGGAGTTTTAGAAACAGAGAAAAAAATTAAGAGAATAAAGTAACAAAATTAGTAGAGTTAAATCATACAGGAATAAAGACAAATTAATGAGAATAAAGTCATAATAATCTGAGAATAAATTCATAATATTACCAGAAGAAAGTCGTAGCAAACATCAGATTATTTTCACTACCAGGACACAGTCTGCTGCTGATTTATTTGTAAAACCAAAGGAACGTCACAAGACGCTCAACAGTCATAATTTTACTGAGGTTGTAATAGTGTTTTTAGTCTGGCCCAAATATAATAATAATAAAATCCCAGAGAATAGAAAATGGACTTAACCTGAACAAAAACAAATGCATGTTGATTCAAAGTGAATTTTACAATAAATTATGTTCATAATAATCAAGTCTGGTGTAAATTTGTGGTGCAACTTAAATAGTAACCATATAATTTGTTGCCTTATCTGTCATCTTTATCAGAATAAACTATAATTTAAAAAAAAAATTAAAGTATTTCAGAGGATAAATTCTCAGCTTTTATTAAAAACTTCTAACATTACCCGGATGGCCATGAATTTGGTAGTTTCTACAGATTTAATGGCTGCTTGCATGTTAAACCTTAAAGAGCTGATTTGAGCACATTTACCTTTTTTATTCTGTTTATTTAGGCCAAACTTCCTGCGCAGACGGAAGTGGTCACCACTGAGGAGCTGATGGCTCATCTGGGTGAGTTTTGGGTTACATCTCTGCGTTTTTATGAAACAGAAACATAAACGCTGGCTTTCTTCTGGATTAGGCTTATTTATTAAACAGATTAAAAATCTGTGTCTAATAATGTTTTGTTTTCACAACCTTTCGGTTCCACAGTGAGCAAAAAACATAAAAACTGGAGGTAGAAATGAGTTGGTAATCTTACTGACGTGTGTGTGTGTGTCGTATAGGAGAGTGTGTTTTATCAGTCACACCCAGAGAGAAGACGAACGCCATGGAGCTCAACTTCCAGCAGGTACCAACACACTGATAAACATCCAGATTTAAAACAAAAACGTTTCTTTTTTAAAGAAACTTTTCTTTTTATTTCAGTTCTGGGCGATTACGGTTCATATTTCATGGAACTACAGTTTTTTTGACACCATATTTGATTTCCAGTCTTAATTGATACTTTTTCTTTATTTCCTTTCTTAAAAAGAAATTACAAATGACAGGAAATATTTTTCTATATTTATCATCTGTGAGTTGATATTGATCGAAAAGTACAAGTTCCCATGTTATTTTTCACTTGTAACAAGGGAAAAATGTCTTGTTATAAGAGGGAAAAAAACTGCCAGTGGAACTAGAACTCGGTTGCTAGGTAACGAACTGGGCTTGGCTGGGGTACCTAGGTAACGAGCTGAGCCTGACTGGGGTTGCTAGGTAACTGCGCAAGAAATTATTTAGGCAACACAAGCTCCTATATCTAGCTTAAAAGTTACTTGTAAGTTAGTTTTGTCTTATTTTAAGTAAATATTTGTGTTAGAAACTAGATGAAAATGTTTGGTAAATTCAATCTATTTTAGTTTCACAACTTATTTGCTTTGCAAACCCAGGATGTCCGCACATCCTTGAAAAGGTTTTATATTAATGTATCTAAAATTGAGGCCTTAAAATGTTTTAGGTTCATTTAGAAAATTTAAGTTGGGTTTAATCAGGAGTATTAATCTCATTTTTAATCTCATAGTTTTGTTTAGTTTATTTTTTTAAGGAATTTTACTGTCAAGCAAACGTTTGAGTCACCTACAAGCATAATTATTGCGTTTTGTGACTCAGTGCTGTTGTGGCTACTGCTAACTAGCTGCTAATATACCAGCTGGCTAGTTATTTAGCTTTTATCTGTCTTGGGAAAGTGTGACGTTCGTCTTCACCACTGGCTCACTTTTGTTGCCAACACGCAATGCTATACTAATACTAAAGAAAACATGAAATTCACTTTGGTACATTTCTGCTGTGATACAGGTCTGAAGTTTCATTGTCAATGGTCTTAAAAAGTCTTAAATTTGCAACTCTTTATGTTGTTTCTGGAGTGATGGTTTCTTCCTTGCTAAGTGGCCTTTCAGTGCGTCTACAGAGCAGAAATCTTTGTGTTTCTTGGTTTCAGACGTCGATGATCAGGGCTTGATTTGAACCTAATGTTGATGAACTGACTGGCAGCTTTGTGTCTGCAGAACATGAGCGACGCCATGGCGGTTCTTCCGAAGCTGTCCACGGGTCTGGACGTCAATGTGCGCTTCACAGGAGTCACAGACTTTGAATACACGCCAGAGTGCATCGTGTTCGACCTGCTGAACATCCCACTGTACCACGGCTGGCTGGTGGACCCACAGGTAACACGCTAACCCAGAGTTGGCAGCAACGCTCAAACGATTAATCAGAATAGTAACTGATTAATCATTAACTGGAGTATACAGACTCAAGAGCAAATAACACTCAGAGCAATAATTAAGCCAAAACTGGACCAATTATACGTACATTTAGCATTTTGTGTAAATATATTTTACCCAAAACTGCTCAAGTGGTTCAAAGGAATGTTATGAAAAATTAAAAATCTGTAGAATGTAGCAATTTTTAAATCAGATTGTCGGAATAATTGATTATTAAAATAATTGTTAGCTGTAGCCTTAGTTAGCAGTAAGCTAACACGGAGAGCATTAGTTTGCACCTTCTGAGGTGTAAACTAATGCATCATATGAGGACATGTAGAAGCAGAAACTCTTCCTGGATTCGTTTGGCTGAAGAACCGTCCGCTTTGTGTGAGTTTAGAGTCCAGAGACGGTGGCAGCTGTGGGGAAGCTGAGCTACAACCAGCTGGTGGAGAAAATCATCGACTGCAAACACTCTGCAGACAGCAGCAGAGTCAGTGAAGGTGAGCACACACAGGCCTGAAGAGGCATGTAGGACGACATGTTCAAAGCCGCTGCCGCGGGTTCGAGTCCCAGCCTCTTCACCACGGCTCCCCCTCGCTAATGATCAACGTTTCCTGTCAACTCACTGTAAAATAAAGGCCACAAGAGCCAAAAAAGACCTTAGAAAATTACTGGCAAGGTGTCATTTTCATGTCCTTTAAATGTATCTCTAAATAAAATATCCAATGCCTTTTACAAAAATAAAAACAAAACAATGAATAGTTAAGGATATGATTTGCTGGGTTTTTTTTTTTTATTTGGAAGACCTACAAGATACTTTTGACTGCTTTGCTTATTTTATTAAAATATTCTTCATTTAGTTTATTTATAGCTGGTAAATGAAAAGATAAAATAGTTTTGCAGTGTAATTAAGAAGAAAAATACTAAAAACAATGGTTTTATGTTTTATGTGTAGGTCTGGTGGCAGAGCAGTTTCTGGAGTCGACGGCCACCCAGCTGTCGTACCACGGCCTCTGTGAGCTCAACACCACGGCGAAAGAGGGAGAGATCTCTGTTTTCTTCAGGAACAACCACTTCAGCACCATGATCAAACACAAGGTGAGGAGGAAACACTCCCTGCAGTACCACCACACACAACTGGGGGGAGAGAGACAGACCCTGCAGTACCACCACACACCGCTGGGGGGAGAGAGACAGACCCTGCAGTACCACCACACACCGCTGGGGGGAGAGAGACAGACCCTGCAGTACCACCACACACCACTAGGAGGAGTACCACCACACACCACTAGGGGGAGGCCGACAGCCTGCAGTAACACCACACACCACTAGGGGGGGGGGAGAGAGAGAGAGAGAGAGAGAGAGAGAGAAAGAGAGAGAGAGAGAGAGAGAGACAGAGAGAGAGAGAGAGACCCTGCAGTACCACCACACACCACTGGGGGGAGAGAGACACCAAATGCTTGATCATGATCAAGCATTTTTTTAAGCGACTTAAAAAATGATAAAGATCCAGCAGAAAATAATAAAAGTCCAGTTTATTATTATTTATCTATTGAAGATAAATAAACAAATACCTTAAGAGAATAATAAACAAAATAAAAATATTTGTAAATATTTTTGAATAATTCTATTTTTCTTTTTTCAAACTGTTTGATAATGTTTAATTAGCTGTCCTGAAAGTGAAAGTGACCTTTGCCCTCTGCGTCCTCCTCAGGGCCACCTGTACCTGCTGGTGACGGATCAGGGCTTCCTGCAGGAGGAGAGCATGGTCTGGGAATCGCTGCACAACGTCGAAGGAGACGGCAACTTCTGCAACTCCGACTTCAGGCTGAGCCATGCGCCGGAGCGCCCGCCGGCCGCCGCCCTCCTGCCGCCCAGCAGCCAGGAGCAGCAGAGGCAGATCGACCAGGTCAGGACTCCTCTGCCGCTCGGACTCCCCGTTGCCCTGATTATTGTTATTGATCGATGGTTTCGCTTCAGGACTACCTGGTCGCCGTTTCCCTGCAGCAGCAGCAGGAAGGCGCTCCTGGACCTCTCAGTGACTTGGAATTGGCCCGGCAGCTGCAGCAGGAGGAGTACCAGCAGCAGCAGCAGCAGCAGCAGCAACAGGCGGGGCCAGCACCGACGCCACAGCAGGTATCAGCTGCTCAGAGCGCTGAAAACACAAAACCTCACCAGGGAATTTGGTTTCTAGTGCAAAAATCGTTTGACATAAGAAGTTTTTTCAACCGTCTTATTGAAGTTAGCGCTTTAGCGTTAACTTCTGCAAAATGCTGTGCTGGTGTGGCGCTGTAGCTTTCATGAAATGCCAAATATGTGTAATGTGTTAGCATTAGCTTCTGCTAAATACCTTGTTGATGTAACACTTTAGCTTCAGCTAATTACCATGTGGGATAGTGCTTTAGCTTTAGCTCCAGCTAAACGTTGTGTTGGTGTAACACCTTAGTGTTAGCTTCTGCTAATTCCTGTGCTGGTGAAGTGTATTAGCATTAGCTTCTGCTAAATCCTGTGCTGGTGAAGTGTATTAGCATTAGCTTCTGCTAAATCCTGTGCTGGTTTAGTGCTTTAGCATTAGCAAAAACTAATGTTTGATTAGTTCTTTAGCGCAGCTAACATTTTATTTTAGCTCATAACCGATAGCCGTGAGTTTCCTCATCCATAATAAAAGAAACATAAAATGATATTCAGTAGTATTGTGTTTTCCAAGCGTGACTGTGTTGTCTGTGTTTCCTCCAGGTCAGAGGTCAGGGGTCGCAGCAGGCCAGAAGAAGAGAGAAGGAGTCGGACTGCGTCATCCTATAATCGCGTCCTGTTTAGCGCCTGCGGCCTCTCGGAGTCTCGCACACTGAGTTAGCTGGACACCAAACATGGCTGCTTTCGTCCAGCAGGTCTGTGTCCTCCAGTCGGGAAAACGTAAACAAAGGGAGTCCGTCGGACCGGACAGGTCCAGCTGAAGAACGGACCCGCCTCCATGAAGGGCTCACCGCAGCAGCCGAGGTCTTTACCTATAAACTGTCTAACTGCTGCTCTACGGTCGGTTTTATTCATTAATGAGAAACGGAAGCTTAACTGTTGCCAACACTTTAAACCTTCTGTCAGATATTTAATTACTTCAGATTATTTTGGCAGCGAGTGAAGCCGTAAAGTTTTATTATCATTCAGACACATTTTCTAACAGTTTGGAGGCCAGTGGTTGGTTGCTTTGTCAGGAACTTCCCCCACTTATTAACACGTCACAAAAGTATTCAGAACTCTAACTTTTTCACATTTTGTCACTTTAAAACCAAAATTTCACAATTTTATTGGGATTTTATGTGATTGGCCAACATGTGCAAAATTATGAAGTAAAAGTTAAACAGTTCTTCTTTACAAAGTAGCTCAAACTCATTCAGATTGGACTTAGAATGACTTTGAATATCAGTTTTTAAGTGTTGACACAGTTGTACTTTGACTAGGCCATCCTAATGCAATGATATGCTTTGATCTAAACTCCCCTAGCTGCATATGCACTGCAAAAACAAAAAATCTTGCCAAATATTTTTGGTCTAATTTCTAGTGCAAATATCTTAGTACACTTAAAACAAAGAACTAACTTAAAAGTATTTTTCAACAAGATATAGCAGCTGATTTTAAGTCTATAATTCATTAGTATTAATAAGAAAAAGTTCCAGTTCCACTGGCAGGTTATTTCACTGTAAACAAGACATTTTTACCATCTTATAAATAAAATTATTTGCTGATGGAACTGACAAATTCACACTACTTTGTGTTGGTCTGTTGCATAAAATCCCATTAATTCACTACAAAAACACAAAACTTTACCACATATTTTTGGTCTAGTTTCTTGTGCAAATATCTTAGTGAACTTTAAATATGACAAAACTAACTTGCACGCAACTTTTCAGCAAGATGCAGGTCATAATATTGACTTTTTAAAAAGCACCAGATACACTGGCAAATTATTTCACTTATAACAAGACATTTTTCTCATTTTATAAGTGGAATTAGTACTTTTTAAAATCAATATTAAGGAGTTATTCACTTAAAACAAGCTCCCACATCTTGCTGAAAAGTTACTTGTAAGTTGGTTTTGTCTTATTTCAACTTGGTCTATAAACTTGACCAAACTTAAATAGTAAGATTTTGTGTTTTTGCAGTGCATACAGTAAAGTTTGTGGTTTTAACTTTATAAAATGAACAAAAGCTCAAAGTGTGAAACTATATTTCCAAGCTACCGCTGGAATAATTAGTTTACTTCAGGTTTTTTAAACATTGATAGAAACTTACCAAAGAAATCGTGAATCTTGGACCTTTTGTTAAACATCTCTAATATGTTTCTTTGGGACTCACTATAACGATCTCTATCTGCTCAGCAGCGCCCCCTATTGGGTTATCTTTATGGTTGTTTCCAAACAGAGAGGTGTAGTCAGCCCCGTTATGTCGGCTTCCTGAATCCTCCATTTTGTCTTCTCTCGTCTCTGTTGTTGACTCTGTTCTCCTAGCCGTGTTGTTGTATTGTAGAAAACCGGAACGTTTCACAGAATGCGTGAAAAAGTTCACTAAACTGTTTAATTATGAGCTCCAGAATATGAAGCTGGTCTCATTTAATAGAACCTGACCCAAAACGTTGCACTGCTGTAGGAACCTCAGTCTCTACAGCCAGGCTTCCTGTTTGGTTCCTGAAACATCAGAACCAAAGCTGGGGTTCTGAAGCAGGAGGTCTTACTCTGACTCTTATTATTCCGTTTAAACGATAGAAACTCTTAACACTCCAAAAACACAAAATCTTACCAAGTATTTTTGGCCTAGTTTTTAGAGCAAATATCTTAATACACTTGAAATAAGACAAAACTAACTTACAAGTAAGTTTTCACTAAGATGTAGTGGGTTGTTTTTAGTAAATATTTCATTAATATTGTTAGAAAATGATTTAAAAAGAAAATATCTTTTCACTTATTTCATAGCTGGCGTTACCTAGCAACACCAGCCAAGACCAGCCTGTCGCCTAGCAACCAGCTCGAGTTCCACAGGCAGATTATTTCACTTTAAACATGGGAAAAATGTCTTGCTGAAACATTTTATTTCAGGAATACGAAGATATTTGCATTAGAAACGAGGCCAAGATTTTGTATTTGAAGTAACTTTAGTGTCATAGAGAAAGAAAAAGCTGTAAAGTTCACAAACGTTGCATTTTTCACAGCAAAAAAAGTAAAATCTTACCAATGTGTTTTTGGTTTAGTTTTTAGTTCAGATGTCTTAGATTTGTCTTATTTTAAGTCAAGTAACTTTTCAGCAAGATAGTTGCTTGTTTTAAGTCAACAATTCCTTCATATTTATTAAAACGTGTTGGTTCCACTGGCAGATTATTGGACACAATTTTCCCATATAAGTGAAATAATTTACATGAAACAAGCTTCTATTCCTTGCTGAAAAATTTCTTATTAGTTGGTTTTGTCTGATTTCAAGAGTACTAAGATATTTTCAATAAAAACTAGACCAAAAATCCTCTGTAAGATTTTGTTTTTGCAGTGAAAATTCTCACTTCAGTGTCATAAATGAGAAGAAATCCTGTTTAATCCACAATTGTGACATTTTTCTGTTTGTTGCCAAAATCCAGATTCCTGCAGCTCTGGTTCCAGCTGGAAGCCCAAAGATTTGTATCTTAGATGTGGAGGATCTTATAAAAGCTTAGACAGAAGGAGACTTTATAGAAATTGGAAATTTATTTACTGGTTTGGTAAATCTGGTCCAAACAAACCGGTGGATGTCCCATGAGCTCTGATTTCGTTCTTTGCACTAAAAAAACTGTTTCCGTTACCAAACCTGCTCTGGGAAAAGAAACGATCCGTTAATCGCTTGTTGATTCAGAGGAATGTGACAATAAGGCTCAACCAAAGCTGCTCTAGTCTCTGGTTTCCTCATCAGAAACAACCTGAGTTTGGTCAGTTTCTCACCTCCAGGTTCATCTCCATCATTTAGAGTCTCACTGAAAACTAAACGTATTTCAGTAATTAAATTTAAAAAGTGGGAAACAAAAAGCTAAGAATACTGAAAAGGAAAAGCACTTACTTGTTTGTTTTTTGTTTTTGTTTTACTGCAGTTTTCTTCCTTCCACTTAACTTTCCGCTTGGATACAGAACTCATCTTGTTGGGCTATAAACTTTCGTGGCTTACTTTTCAAAACTGTCCCATGGTCATCCAAACATACCAGTTTGATATTTAAAAATTAGATTTTATTTATCTGGAGGATATACTGTTATGAATCAGCCTGTAAATAATGTCTACAAGTTTTCAGCTTAATTACTGACAGTCTTAGACCACTTTCAGCCTTATTTGTGTCAGTAAACATAAGTATGATTATTCAGAGCAAAACAAGTCAATAAGAAGTATTAAGTCTTGAAATATTAATCCAATAAGTAGAAGATGTGATTTCCACATTGAGTCAGAGGATTTTACTTCAATTTGAGCCTTTCTGTGTTTGTTGAAGTGAAATTTATTGAACTGAGATGATTCTTAAGAAAATTTTCCAAAGATGATTTAATCGTTGACTGTATTTGCTAAACCTTAATTTACTTTAATTTTATGTCTTTATTTAACCGTAGTGACGTCACGAAGCCTTCATTCACACGGTCACAACCTCCATCAACTCTTTGTGCTGCAAAAACACAAAATCTTAAGAGTTTTTTGGTTTAGTTTCTGGTGCAAATATCTTAGTTTTCTTGAAATAAATCAAAACTAACTTTTAAAAACTTTCCAGCAAGAAATAAGAGCTTGTTTTAAGTTAATAATTCATTATGAGGAACTTCTCGTTCCACTGGGGTTTTGCTTGTTATAAGTGAAAACAATCTGCCAGTGGAACTACAACTGGTTGCTAGGTAGCGGGCTGGCGTTGCTAGGCAACGGTGCCATGACGTGCCGTTAAATTTAACACTTTTTATTTAGTTAAAACAAGCTTCTGCTGGAAAGTTACCTGTAAGTTAGTTTCCTTATTTCAAATGTACCAAAGTATTAGAACTGTAAATTAAACCAAAAATACTTGGCAGTATTTAGTTTTTTGTGACTTTTCACTGTTTAATGGCTTCCAGCTGAAATATTTGATATCGTGTCGTATTTCCAAGCTGCGATATGAAACGTGGAGTGAAGTCCCAGCTCTGTTATTTCTCTACTTTATCACAGTTTCTGATTAAAAAGCTGAATATCTCCTACTTTCCACTATCGCTGTGCGGTTGAAGGTTTTCTTCTCTCCAGTCGTTTCCTCCTGACGAGTCGGTGTTGTAGTTCCAGAACCGGGCGGCCCAAATCAAAGTGCCATGTTTGTTTTGGTGGCTTCTGAGAACCAGTCTGTGCTTTCCTGTTTGTCTTCTTCTCTCATGATATTTTAACCGTTTCACCGCTGTCGCTACGGTAATGTTGTGTTTAATTTGCCATTTTGTCAAACTCAATAAAATCTGAATCAACGTAAAGGGGCAGTTCTTCACTCTGTTTGTCTCCAATAAGAAGTATTTACATCATAAAGCAATTTAATTTTGTGTAGCTGTTAAATAGATGCTCTTAATTTTATGGATTTATTTATTAATTTAGGGATGAAATGATTGTGATGAATCGAATATTTAAACTAATTTAATCTTTAACTTGAGAACACAGACTGAAAGGCAATGTGCTAAAAAAAAGAGCAGTTTAACTACAAAAATTTACATATTTTGCAGTTAAATTGTAAATGGTGTTTTTTTTTTAGTTTCAATTGTTTGAAATTCTGTAAAAAAAAAGTTTCTTTTGAACATGCTTTTCTACAAATAATCAAGAAAAGGCCGTGCTACAAAAAAAATGTTGCAGATTATTTTGTTTCTGCCATTTATCAAATAGAAAAAGATTAGGTAATTATAATAAAATGAGAAGTTTGGTTGGATTTAACAAAGTATTAGAAAATTTAAAACTAAAACAAGAAAAAGTCCATATAAAATCATACGAGAATAAAGTCAGCATTGCCACTTTGTCCTAGTTTTACGAGTTGATTCTCAATTTTTGG